AATAAAAAGTTTTATTATTACATTATGGGAAGGACACATCTTATTTTAGAATAAACTCGTAAGACCGCATGACGTATTGAAGATTTCACGGATGTAGGTAGTAGTATATCTTACCAATAATATATCCAAATTATACTTACATGTCTTTATGGAAAAGAGAGCGGATAACACATTTTCATAACTAATAAGTTTAATTTTGCTATCATGAATTTTATCATCATTTTTAATATTTTTATTAGGTCGGATTAGAAGTCACAAAAGACTATATTTGGCCTTAAGGCTGCAGGTTTCCAACCTCCAGATCGTTTTACGAATTTCAGCTAAATTGGTGAAGGGGTTTCTTACATCTAATAAAAGTTTGATAAAATTTACTAGTCTCAGATTTCCTAATAAAATCTACGTCAGTGCGTCCTGTATACATATGTATACATAACATGAGAAAGTATTGGAATCGTGTCAAATTTGACCCTTTCAGTTTTTTGTAAATCTCCACGTTTTGAGACCTCCTGAACCCAAAAAAGTCAAAAAAGGGGGGAAATTCCGTGCATATGTACAGTATAGTATGTATGTGTTCGAATCTATTTCATTTAATATGTCAAGATGTGGTAATGACTAAGAAACAAAATTTGGCATGGTAGCTTGTTAATGCTATTAAATTTTCGTAGTAAAAGATCGAAGGGTGAGCAGATAGAGGGAATAATATCTCGAGAGGGGTTGGAGATAATGTAGATTTTACTCGTTATTATCATTTACAATTTTTTAAATAAAAATCACCCTTACCTTCAAAATTAAACTTTTTGCCATTTTATAATAATCAAAAATATGTACAGATTTTTATAACAAAATCTCAGTGTCACACAATTTTATATGTTAACTAGCTGTTACCCGCGACTTCGCCCGCGGTGGTTTTGCAAGCAAACAGCATTTATATTCAGTATTTCAACAATCATAGTAATTGTTATATAACACCTACTGCTGAAAATAATAAGAATTGCCGAAAATCAAACTAACTATTTTCAATTTGATCAATCGTTCTATAATTGAACCAATATGCAATAACAAATTCGAATTTAAAACGGTTCGAACATTTGGTTAAAAAATCGAAACATAAAAATATTTATAACAATGTCTGAAATGTTATCAATTTAATACACCTAAGTACTCAATGAAGACTAAACGTAGTTGAAAANTGCCCAAAAAATAAAACCATGAAATGTAAGAAAAATAAGTTTGTCTCGAGCGGTTTTTCTTATAGATAAATGATTTGTATACTAAACTTACAGTGCTTTTTTTTGTTGATTAATAAATTTAACCATCAAAGCATATAATATATGAAATAATTAAAATTAACTATTCAAAAAATAAAGTTTGGAGTTTATTAGAAAGCAGAATAAATATGTTTTGGTTTTTAGAACATTATCTATATTCATTTTCTCTCTTTGGGTAGGATATTTTCTTAATTAGGGTGCGTGAATTTTTACGTATAGTTTAATTAATTAAGAATATCAACTACTCATTTAATAAATAAAATGTCTTATTTTCATGTATTAACTAATACAGTTGTCACATATGAAACAATATTTTGCAATAGACATATGATAACCTATTGCAAAATTTTCATGTATCTCGTTCAATTTTTGAGTGATTTAGATTCATATATTGTAATAATGTTATTATCAATCAATCAATTTTTATTTCCAAGGGAAATTTTCCCTATTAAGGGGGAATACAATTTCACAATAACAAATATTATTTCGGTCTACATCAGGGGTGTCCAACCCGCGGCCCAAGACAAGTTCCAATGCGGCCCAATAGACGTGTAAACAAAACCGACAAATTATTTTATTTTTTAAATTTAATTTCGACGGCATAAACTCAAAAAAGAAGTTTCACAAAGCCGTAAACTTTTATACATATTTTATGTTTAAGTGAAAAGGAAATATTTTCAAATGCTTGGAGATGTGTGAATGACGAAGGAATACTAAATAAAGCTGAAGTTGTGACTCAAAGGATTATAGACCCAAATTTGAGAAAAGGAGAAAAAGGAGAAAAGATAGAAAGTAGTGAGGAAGGTTAGAAAATTAAGGTAATATTTGCATAACAGAAGGTCTATTTAACCTTTCTCACTACTTTTTATCTTTTGGTCTTTCTCTCATTTTTTCAAATTTGGGGTATATAATCCTTTGAGTTTCAACTTGAGCATTATTTAGTATTCCTTCCAGCATTGCAAGATTTGGCTACTTTGCGCCAAATTTGGCTACCTTTTTTAGTTTGGCGTAAAAATTATCATTTGGCGCATTGGCTACTTTCTGGGCTACATATTATTTATAAATATATTAGTAGAATAAAAATGCACTTTAAAATAGTGTTTCGTCGTTCTTTATTAATTAGAGACCCAAATAAACAAATATTTGTGTTTTTCAAATAAATGTTTGTTTGTCTCCTTTATAATAAATGAATTTATCTACAGTATTTCTAACTGTAAGTAAAAATTGAAAGTGTCTGTATAAGTAATTTTTTTAAATATTCTTTTTCGTGATAAAGTTTTAATATTTATTACTATTGAGATTTAAAATTTAGTTAATTTTATAAAATAAATTTATTCCTTACATACGAAGTCAAAATATAGAGTCCGTGGGAATTTTATGTCTTAATATAAACATTCTCACGAGGAATCCGTGCATAGTTTACACTTACAGGCAAAATTCGCCATATTGTTGCCATTCTACCACCACCTTTAACTCCACACCTGCTAAAACAATTGATCACCTGATTAATTTTCCCACCACAAAAAGTATAAAAACCCTCCTCCCTCCCCCTTCTCGACGAAGGATCGCTGATCGGGGGAGTCGCTCGAAGTTCGTCAAAGGAAGTCGAATACTGCTTTCTCGCCAGACCTATTCCGAAACCCGAAGGACCTGTGCCAATTTACCGAATTTACAGAAGAATTATCACCCTGATAGTTTCGCAGGAGGTATGAAAGCTTATTGTAAACTCTCTCTCTCTCATACGCGAATTAGAAGTACAGAGTGTTAGAAAGCTTTATTTTCTTTGCTGACTTTAATAAACGGTTTGTTTAGAAAAAATGGTGTCTTTATTCGACTGTGCCATCGTCTTATCGTCGAATCCTTTGACTCTCCTCCACTCGCGTAACGCGTAACAGAACGTAAACGCCATCCTTGACAAGAAAGTAGGTCACCGACTTGTTGCCGGAAAGGAGAGGTCTTCCCAACCTCCCCGGCGGCTCACACTATAATNATTGATTATTTTTCAATAACTCAACAACACACATGATGACCACACAAAGCAGACTGATTAACTACAGCTAGCTAAACATGGCTAGCTGATTGGAGCAGGCGTGAGATTGTAGTGCCACTTCCGGTGTTGGGAATGGTGACGAATACAGAAAATACTGACAAATATGGAAAAATATAAAAAGTCATCAAAATGTGATGAATATTGAATATTACAAATATAGAGGTTCCACTGTTCTACTGTATATCTATTATTTTGACAATTCTTTGGCTATTTAGAAATTCTTTAGTTAACAGACATTTTTTAAAAAACAAAACTATGTATTGACTATTTAAATAAATCACTGGGTTTAAAATATAAGACAATTTTTATAAGAGACACTTGCATTAAGTGGAAAACATCTCTACTCCTAAGAGTTTCTTCTAATCTTTGGTTCTGCTATAAATAATAGCATTACAGCATTTTATTATTATATTTAACTTTATTCTCTCAAAATACTATATTTCATAAATATTAAAAGTAACAGTATTATAAGAGAATATTAGAATTCAGATTGAATTCTTTTTAATACATATTAAAACTCGCCACTTATTTTGATAGAAAATATATTCATTAATTAAATCATTATATGTAATGAATGAAAGATAATAACTAACCTACAGTTCAGTTTTTGTTACAAAAAATTGTTGATAGTTAGTAGTCATTATTACTCTTATTTTGAAAAATTATTGCTTTTATTACTTTTATACATTTAACAATTACAAATATATGTATTATAATATTTACAGAATAGGTGAATGATTGGCTAGAAATTACCAGAGAGATACAAAGCCATATAATTTTAAATTAAAGATAATTTGTTTAACAGAAGTTGTATAGAACAATGTAGAAATGTAATTCATACTTCATAGTTTCTTTCTTCAATAAATGAATATTTACAAAATCTTAAAATTAACATATATTTTAGTTATATTACATTGATAAATAAAAAATATTAATTAAATTAAGCAATTAGTTTAAAATGATGAACAAAAAATACTATGATTTTTATATTTTAATACTAAATGATTTTGGACTAAGTCATTGTGAAACACTTTAAATAATTGTCTCAAAAAATCAGTTCTAATAAATGAAAAATATCATTTTATTACTTAAAACTGATTTAGAAAAGGGATTTATAAAATAAATTTCAAATTCTCCCTTTTAAATTTATACATAAATGAATGTCTGTTTAATTTTCTGATAACTTAGCTTTTGAACAAAATATAAAAACAGTTTTAAAATAAAATTTACTTTTGTTCTCGATATTAATTTTAGATGGTCCAGAACAGAGTTCTAGTAAATTGTTGAGTACTCCATTTACTGAGGATCCTCAACACAGACTACAATGGATTGCTTATTTGGAATTTACTCATAATAATGAAGTTGGTGATCTTACTTGGGATAAGGTAAAAAAGAATTAGTATTATAAAGTTTCATCAAAAATATTTTAATATATAGGCCTATATATATATTAGAAGCTAATCGAAAGTTTATCAAGACTGTTTATACTTGGCTAACATTCTTGTATGCAGTTCATTTGGTATCACTGAAAAATATTTTTCACTTTTTTGTTTCTTTGGTCGGTTCTATTCGTTTTTATAACATATTTAAAATTAACGAATTAATGTGAATGACATATTATTCCAAACATAAGATGTTTTTCCTTACTTTAGACGAGTTCTAGTCGAAACAAACGAGTTAAGTGTTCGGTTTCTTATTACTTCGTTACGTAACCTGACCTTGATTACAATGACTGGTAACTAGTCGATAACAAAATTCCAAGTTTTCATCAAATGTATAGTGAAGAGCATCAGAAAATGTTGCAATTTGTTATACTTGCTTTAAGCTGTATTTTTGTAAACGGGGATCATCATAATAAATCTTCCAAAGTGATTCTAATCCACATTGACGGATGCCGTTGGGATTATGTAAATGATTCGAGTCTGAAAGGTTTCGCCAAATTAGCTAAATTTGGCGTCAAAGCAGAATATGTCAAACCTGTTTTTCCTTCCAATACATATCCAAATTCATATAGCATTGCGACAGGTAAGACTCTATTCTTAAATTTATTAATTGTAAAATACATGTAATCTTTATTCTAAATATATTTATTAGTAATGATTTATATTCAAAAACAGATAATTATGCGCAGATTTACAAGTTTAACATTATAATTTTCTTGTCGCTTATGATATAAAATATGTTTATCTTATAAATGCAATACTCAATTTATAGTTTCTTTAAAAAATAAAATAAATTTTTTACATTTCATAACGTTAATGTCATTCATATTAATAATTTTTAATTGATTCAACATAATTGATTTGTTATTTTGAAAAATAATATTTCATTAAACTCGATTTATTGGTTGTCTCCGCATTGAATTCCAATCAAAGTATAATTTTCAATTGTCTCAAAAATTTTTCATCAATATTTAGTAGACGATTTATTAATTTAATTAATTAATATTTATTAAGTTATTAAATTAACTTATATGTATGGTTGCTATACGTCTCGATTTTTCGGGATTTTTTCGATTTGAAATAACTCGTTTCGATTGAAAAATATTTTCCGAAACGTCTCGATTTGTTCATTTCTACAAAAAAACCCCTTATTTTATTTTAAAAAGTCAAACAAGAATTGTAGGCGATAGTTGTCAGCTAGGGTTTCTCAAACGGGATTCCGGGATCCCGGGATCCCGGTTGTTTTTTTAACCCGGGAAATATCCCGGGAAATCCCGCAAATTTCTTAAAAATTCACTTTTTTTCTTATTTTGTGTTAAGGTTGAGGAATTTTGCAAATAGAAAGCATAATTAACTCATTCACTGTCAAAATACATTTGTATTTATCAATTTTAAACCTACCTATTAGTTTTTTTTAAAAATTTTTGCTCGTTATAGCATGTCACAAATGGTCAATAATTAATATATAGCTTATTTGTGGCAGGACTATAAAAATTATTTACTTGTCGGAACCTGTAATATCTGGAATAATTGTGCTTACGCTGTCTTGAGTTTTAACCATGCCCAGTAGCTTTTCAATAAATGCCTAACGCCAGATTATGCAAATTGGGCAAGGATACAAACGAGTACAAAGTCTGCAAGTATGAAGTTTTTCTTCATAAACCTGATTATTAAAGCCAAATGAATTGCCGAATTATCGAGCTCTAAGCTTGATGCCGCTATTAAAGCAGCCAAGGTAGACAAATCAAGAATACTAGAGAGCGAAAGAAGTACTACAATCTCGAAAACGAACTCGAAATCTTCCAGGCTACAGGTGAAAAAACACATAATATCTGTCTTCTCTTAAATGCATTAAACACTATTCCAATCACATCAATTGAATCGGAAAGGGCATTCTCGGTGGCAAGACTTTTCATTACTAAAATAAGAATTAGAGTGAGTTATCGGAGTATTGACCATCTTTGCTTTTTAAAATCTTATAAAAGTTTGCAATATTTTGTATTATATTTTATTTAAAAAACGAAAATTACCTTCTAAATTAGAAGTTCATTTTTTTAATTTTTAACTCAATTCAAAACATTTTTTTTGTTGTTGTTGTATGCAGTTTCCAGCAAACTTTAATTAATTTTTTTCTATTTGTGAAAATTTCTACGTTATTTAAAGGTAATTTTTATTATAGGCCTATAGACCTTACACAGCATTATTAATATGATTTTGGAGGTTACAGAACTTTAAAATTACTTTAAAAAATGGAAAATAATTATATCATTTGATTTCAAGATATTTTGTATACCCTAAAAATAATCAATTCTATCCCGGGATTTCCCGGGATCCCGGGACAAGCAAAAGACCGGGAAATGAGAAACCCTAGTTGTCACGCATGCTTTCAGTAATCTTTGTGTGGTGCTGTGCGATGGCCTCAAAACTATCGATGGTTTCGAATTGATGATAAATCAATTAATGGTTACATCTGGCCATAGTCTAGCTTTTTGTATTCTTTGCTTCCTCCTGTGGATATTAATAGAACTTTTATATTTAATCATGTCCATTATAGAATCGGCCAGGTTCACAATAAGGCAACCAGGTTTTCTAACAAAAAGTTGAAATAGGTATTAACATAATAATAAAGAGAAACGTGTGGAATAGTGAGGAATTTTTTGTTTGAAATTATAAAAATATAAGCAATATTTTACTTTTAATTTTAATTTATTTTTATTTTTTATTTAAAATATGGTAATGGATATTTCGTAATTTTACAAAGAAATATTTATTTTTAATTAATTGTGATTTAGTAAATTGCATGTTTACAATAAAATTAAGTATCATATAAGAACTGGAAATTATGTTACATTTACACATTTCCGAAAAACTTTTTTAATCATAAAAACAACTTATTTTTTTAAGAAATATTCTTCGTCAATTTATAAGTGAAAAACTTTATCAAAAAGCCACTTTAACACTAAGAAAAGCATTCATATTAACAATAAAAAAGGCCTTTTCGTCTTCAATTAATATAATAATATATTAAGTTAAAAGCATTTTATATAAATAATTTTAAAAAATCTATTTCACTGTTAAGATAAGTTATATCATCATAAATTTTCAAGTTAGTTTTATTCTAAATGGTCTGGTAGAAAATTTTGAATTTTGTATTTTTATTAAAATATTATGCTGATGATTAAAATAAGCCACATCACATCAAAATCAATTTTATTAATATCGTCGACTTCTTAGTTCTCTTTATGGTTTATTTAAAGAAAATCTAGGTCTTAAAGCTTATTAAGCCTATATTTCGGATTTTATAAACTACAGTATATTAATCTAACTTCTGATAAATTTCCCATAAAAACAATCTTTTTACAATTTCTTTCGAAAATAAACATCGCTATTTTTTGTTTTGTATAATATATATTTTATATGTTTATATATCAACAAATACTATTAACACTAAGTAATTAGGACAAATGACATTATTTATTATTGGCATTATTAAATGTTTATCTATTGTTGAGTCAATTAAAGAAATGTTAATTATGTATGTAAATGATATTAACTTATAAACGAGCATTTATTTATTGTGACATCGTCACAATGCCGTGCTGCAATTTTTAAATCATGTTTTTAATTTATTTAATTTAAAATGTATGTTTTCACCTCAAATTAGTACTGTAATATCTTGCCCCTGTACATCATACTTTTCCTTTAACAATAGAGTTGTGCCTGTCATCTATCTAACAGCTTTCAGAGTGAAATATTTGAATTGAAATAACATGACGTCAGGTTTGCATCGGAAGTTCGTATAAAGTTAATCGCGACCACCTGCCCTAAGGTTTCCATATCTGTTTTGTCTCGTTTTTCGTTTATCTAACTCCGTCCTTGAGCTCAAGGAAAGACAGACGGACGGACGACAACGGAAATTTATAGGTCTACATTTTTTTTTTTTTTAATTGAAGCCCAACAAAATATGAAAGAGAAATATTTCTAAATGAGTTTAATAAAAAAAAGTAAAATAATTTATTAATCAATCTGTCTAATACTTCATTAATGCAAATCTAATATATCAGACACTTGGTGGTAATAATTTAAATTAAAAATAAATTAAATGTAATGCATTAAGAATGACAATTTAAAAGTCATAAAATAGTGTATATAAAATTATAAAAGAAAATGTTTATTCGATTTATCAGAAAATTACACGAAACGAAGGTTTCTTTTGAAATTTATCTATTTATTTATTTACTTTTCCTAAAAATTATTTTGGATGTAAAATACAAAGTATATAATTAAATCTTTAAAATTTTAATCATTAACCTTTGCTTTAATTATGAAGTTAAACAATATCTATTTATAATAGATATGGTTTAACTTCATAATTAAAGAACGTTATTTATGGAAGATAGTGATTTAATATTTTTTACCTTTAGTTTTTACGCTTTTCCAAATTATTACAAAAACTTTCGATAAAAATCAAAATTTATAATCGTTATTAAGCGTCTGGTCAAATTCACGATAAAAAGACTCTTAGTGCCGACACAACAATATGTGTAATATATAGCCTACATATATTTATGAATAGGAAAATATTTTTAAAACAACAAATTATAAAAATATGCATCGCTCTTAAATTTTCAATCAATAACTCAGAATCATTAATAGAAATACATAGGCCTATATGTATGAATATGAACAGCTAAGTTTTAAAATACTGTATTACAAACGAATACTTTCATGTGGAACACTTTATGCGAATCATATGCAGATTAAACACTTTATTTGCCACAATATATATCAAAATATTTGTAACAAACTTTTGTTACATGAAATAAAGATCGTTATTTAAAATGCAGTACACAGAATAATTAATTGTAACATTATTCTTCACAAAATGATTTATTTTTATGCATTTTGTCCAAACATAAAATTGGGAAAATTACACACTATTAGAATATTGTCCATAAAGACTAGACAACATATCCTTTAAAATTGCATTTTATTAATAATCAAAAAACTATTTGTATTTTTCCTGGTGTCGACATCCGATTCATGCTACCCATTAAAAAATCAACAGAATCTGAATCGATTTCAAATTTCTATGATTTTTTTATTATTGTTGAATCAAAGCGTTATTCTTCGTCCTTTCCCCCTATGTTGGTTAGGTTTGTTCAAAACCGGCAAAATCGAAATGAATAGTTACAATGTCTCGCAAATTAAATCAAATCTATATAATTCAAATAAGTCAATGTTATTGATTAAATCGATTAAATCAATTTAATCAACAAATTTATCCTTGGAACTTTGTTATATAAGTCAATGTTATCATTTCTAAGCATCTTTTTCCTAAAGGTTATTTCATTCACTATCATTATCGCTTATCAAGTAGACTGTACTACAAAACATTAAAATAAGCAATACTGTACTATACAATAACAGAAAACTTAACAAGAGATTAAATATTTCCCTCTAATTATTTCTCATAAATATTATATAGGCCTATATATTGTTATTTAAAATAAAAATTTTTGAATATGTTTTTTCTCAAATAACTTTTTCTCATGTTAATTATTTTGTAGAATTAAAAATATTTTTCGCATTATTACCATAAGAATACGTTATGCATTATATTAATTATTAGACGGGTGGATGGTCAAGGCAGTCAAGGCGTCAACCGATCGAATCCGCCAAGCCACCCCGAGAATTTTTTTTCATATGTGGACAGGCCCTGTTCCTTACTATGGGCCTGGCCTAGCCAACGATTGATATGGAAAAAATGCCCTCAGAGAGCGAAAGGACCAAAAATAAAAGAACTAATTTAATAGAAAACAAATCCTACAAGAATTTTAGTCTAATCTAATTTTAGATGTTCAATAAATGAAATTCGATAATCAATTAAATTATTTTCTGTATTTTAGGTCTTTATCCAGAGAGTCATGGCTTCGTTCAGAACATCATGTATGATGCAGAAAGAGAAGAGTTTTTCTTGATGCTTTATAATCCTAATTCTACTAACTCACATTGGTGGGAAAGTGCAGAGCCTATATGGGTAACTGCCGAAAAACGGGGAATTAAAACAGCTTTATATTGGTGGCCCGGAAGTGATGTGGAAATTCACGGTATACTACCTACGTTCTTCTTGCCACATCGATATACTGCTGGAGGAGAAAATGTCACAAAAGATATCCAAGGAAAATTAGAACACGTACTCAATATGTTCCATAGAGACGAGATTAGATTAGCTATGGTTTACTATGGTGCTGTAGATAACAATGGTTTGTATGCAATTATTAAATAATTTATTTTAACTTAATGGCTAATGATTATATAAACTATATATATAACTGATTTAATCTTTCAAAAGATAATTATAAATATATTTATATACTGAAGACTAATATGAATTTGTGCAGACCAATTGCCAAGCGGATAAAAGGCAGTGAACACCCGTACTTATCACGGGTTCGCGCCTGACTAATAGGCTGGCGGCGTGCAGATTTAGTTTTTTTTACGTGTCTAAACACCTAACTAGGGTCAATTTCCTCTCGAAAGGCATCGTTTTTGTGTTGCATTTCCTAATCCTAATGTAAACTTTTATGTAAACACTACTGTTTACATAAGTAGTTAAGGCCAATATTACTCACAATTATTCTTATATAAAGATTTACATTAAATAATAATATATTATATTAAATAAATAATACAATGTTATACTGTGAAAACTGATTTATATAATTAAATTTTTCATTAACTTATTAAAAAATCCTTATTGCTTTAAAATAAAAATGTCAAGTAGTGACATTTAATAGGCAATAAAGGTTCGTCCATAAACGTCGTGTTTTATTTTAGCTAAAATTTAAACCCCTCTCATCTTCTCCACTGGTCAAATGGGGTCTCTAGCCCAATCTCCCAAAAATCCAGTGGAAATTTTAAGACTCCTCTGTTTGGAAAAGTTACATTATGCCATCGAAAATTTAGTAATACAATTTAGTAATACACTTGGAACATATTTTAACGCCGGCGAGTTACAATTTGTCCCATATTGGTTCTATGTGTCTTAGATACTAACTAAACTATAGTTCGTTCCGTTATACAGTAGTTGTTCCGTTTTCACTAATTTGCTCCAAATCTTCTGGAAGATCCAATTCTCCTCCTTCCAATTCATAAAAATTCACTTTTTCCAATTTAGAAAAAAAATTTATGACCTTAAGTATTTTTAATATCAAATTAATTATTTGATTTTAAAAATTATTATTCTCCATAGTCCGATTTCTTTAAAATACAAAAGTACAGTTTTTCATTTTTTAAATAATTTTTTTTCCATGGTAAACTGGAAAACTATGCTTTAAGGGAATCGAACTCTGGAGAATAATTGATGATTCATTAATAGTTTTTTTAACACGTGTGTTTTTGTACAGCTTACGTGCTGGATTAAAATGACAAGAAGTATAACAAATAACGCTAAATTCTAAATGTGATTTTAATATGTTGGAAACGTTGGTTTGTTAGTTAAAAAGTACAATTTTCAGAGTTTTCTTGCAATATCAGTGCGTGCTGTATCACTCACTGTCATAAAAATTAGCGCATCAAGAAGGAGTTGGCGGAATAGAATGAAAATGTACATATGTAAATGTACCGTAGCCTAAGTGATTACGCCATTTATTACAGGAAAAAGTACAAATGATACGAGGTTCTAGTATCCTGTTGGGCTACCTCTATCGTGAATACACGACGTGATACGGGTGGGCATGGAGGCATACAGGGCCGTATTCTAGTCACTTATCTCTCGTCTCTCAATGACGATTCTAGTGCCGATTCAGTGGCAACAGTGGTGATTCTGGGCCATGTTCAGTAATGCATACACCTAAGTTAGAGTTCTGAGTGGCTTAGTTGGCGGAGCTAAGAATGTTCTGAGCATCATTGAACGATTATTCTTAGATAACTAACTGGGCAAAATGGTGGACGAAGTTAAAATTATGATCGGAACGATTGTCGCAAACGAACTGGTGGAAAAGGATGAAGAATTCAATACAATTATTCAAATTGGAGCTGCGTCAGATCGTGATGAAATTAACGAAGCAATCATTAATTGTAATTAACGAAATGGACCGTTGTCTTCTGTTAATTTAAAATGTATTGGGAATCTCTTATACAGACGTGTGATAATTTTACATTTCGAAGTCATTTTAGAACCAGTTAATGATTTAGAATGAGAAAATAACTTTGTGATGATTATAATAAAATACGTTTAGTCCAACACGAGCAGCCATCTTGCAAATCGTACGACGAGAAAAAAACAATGATGCCACTAATAGAAGTTAGCATAGATAAAAAAAACTGACTGAACTACCTAGAATTCTAGCAGTGGGAGGAGTCAAGCAATAGTAAGAAACGAGTTCAACATATCACAGCATAATTAGACTTAGCATAGCAAGAATTCTGTTTTACTGAACACGGCCCTGTTCTAAAGATTATCTTCAGGTTTTTAAAATCAAGGAATATTGATAACTTTTTTTTTATAGAACAGTTAAGAACATATTTTAAATTCAAAATTCTGTCGAATATTGAACTATTTGAATTCAAAAAATAAATTACAGTAATAGGTATATATTATATACAATTTAAAATAACAAAATAATAAAATAGATAAAAAAACGTGGGTTAAAGGTGAAAACGTTCGTTACTGTTAATAAATAATTCTCAGTGAGATAAGGTGTTCTTGCGTAGGTATAATATAAAAGCAATTATTCTCACAGTTCTACATGATTTTTTATTTAAACAAGTCATACGAAGTCTTTCGGACGTTAAGGTTAGCAACTCGATCACATGCAATCTGTCTAACACGGATCACTTTTAAAATATTAATAGTGGACCAGTATTAATTAGAAATCGTTGACCATCCTCTCTTCCTGGAGAAGGTCAACGACTACTTTTGCTCGAATTAGCTTACTTCAACCCTCTTTCGCAATGGTCCCTTTTTTCTATCGGACCAGCAGTATGGTGACATTGAAATTGGAAAATCCAGAATACGAGGTTACCAGCCTCCACAAAATATGTTTTAAGTGGTTTTCGACGGTGCCGGGTTTAAATATTTTGTACGTTTTTCGCGAAATTCCTCGATTCGTTGTCAGATGACCAATTGATACTCGGCTGTAAATGGAACAGTTTCTTAGACGTAACATTAGTAGTTACATAAATCAAATACTATAAAATAATATAATAGAAGGGTTAGAATATGAAAGAATCTACTAATCTTAATGATTGTTGTTATTTTTTGCCCGAGCGACACCGGGCTCATCTGTTAGTATGTAATAAAATAATTAGTGAAATAACTTCGTTCTGTGATTCATAAAACAATCACAGACCAACATGGGGGTCCGCAGAAAATTTATTTATTTTATTTTACATTTAATTGGAAATGTCGATGGACAGTAGATTTTCACCTCACACATAACAAAATTATCCAAGATTACAATAAAATACAATTAAAAATTATATAATAACAAGAAATGTATAAAACATAAAAAAAGTAAAAAGGGAAAGCAAAATGATATAAGGACAAAACAAAATCACACATTATATAGAAATTGTTGGCATAAATGTTTGTATTTTGTAAAGTCGTGATGAAAGTAATGCTCAACAGAAGACATGTAATCGATGGAACAATGGAACGATAAAAGAAAAATCTATGAGATAGCGATGATCGATAAAAAGGAGTATACAGATTGCATTTTCCTGGAAGGAACTTTCAGTTTAAGCCAATAATTGGGTATTATTCCTTTAAAATATTTATAAGTTAAAATACGATCGAAGTATTTGATCCTTTCTTTGAAATCAGGTAATTCAGTCTGACTCCTGCGACTTCGACATTATTAGTATATGGTAGATGGCAAAATTTGTTCAGAAGGAAATATAATTTGTTTATTTCATTAATAACTTTTACGTAATACTATATCGATGGGGCAGTCATTGCCCAGATTGATAAGCACTAGCCTATTAAAGACTAAAAGTTAGTAAAGAACATCAACCTTAGTACAGTTTGAGGATATCAGCCTACAAAAACGCCATAAAATTCCCCGGCGTATTGAGATAGATTTAGCAATTTTTTCTATATGACCTTTAAATTTATTGTCAAAAATGACCCCTAAATCATTATACGAATTTACATAATTTAAGATATGATTATAGATATGAATGTGAAAAAGAGAAAGATCTCTAATCAGAGAAAAGTACACCACAACAGTTTTACGAATGTTAATTCTTAGATTTACTTAACTAAAAGCTAAAGATAAAATTTTGAGATCGGTTGGTAAAACGTTAGGTCTTAATTTAAGAGTTTTATATCATCGGCATAAACTATAACATTAGATTTAATATTATTAAATAGGTTATTAATGTATGCAGAGAATTTATATTTTCCGTGAAAGGTAAAGCTTGGTGACAATAATTACATCAATAAATTTTTATTTAATTATATAATTTTTTGGGTTTTTAACAAGTAGATTATAGAATACAGTATTAAATAAATACAAAAAGATAGACAAAGCGGCCCATGGTCGTGAGTGTAAGGTTACATATCTCAATCACTTTTACGATTATAATTTGTAGAATTTTTTATTCAATCCCAGGGGAGAGCGAGTGCCCCATTTGTTCTCTGCGGAAGCCCGTGGAAACTAAGACCGTTTACACACGAATACATAACTTTAATATGAAGGTAATGCTGTTTTTTTTAATCTGAAATTATTTGTTAAAATAGTAATAATTTTAAAAACTTTGAATAAAACAATTAATAATTTTATAGAGAAATAGTGCAAAACTGTTTCGTTATAATGTAATATAGAATTTATAGGTTGAAATACAGGAGTTTACAAAAATACAATTGGTTTTTTTATAATTGAACAAAAAAATAGAATTTATAATTATAAAGAAGTTGTAGACAAGAGTTTCATATTATATATAACAATATTTTGAAACTTAATTATATAGTAATAATTTAGTATATGTGATTTTTATTATCAAATTTGTCCGTTTATTTACACGAATACATTTATCAATAACAACTATGACTTGTTAATTGCTTATTGTGCACGAAAAGATCTTTCTTTAAGTTCTTACTCATTTCGCCCGAAAAATTAAATAATTAAATAAAATTTATTGATCTAATTACCATATTTACTCGGGTATAAGACGATCTTGCGTATAGGACGAAGTGTGACTTTAGAGACCGAAATAAAGAAAATTAGATTTATCAATACAATTCTAATTTTATTTCGTTTAATCACAAAATATTATCAAATGATGAATAGAAAACAAAACTGAAACATTATAGTGAGCTTGACCAGAAAAAGTTTGTTTTTAATGATTCAGAATGTGCTAATAATCATTAAAAATAACAATTTAACTAATATAAAATAACTAGATTTATAATCATTGCTAAATGACCTGTATTTTATTAATGTTTTTATAAATAACGAGAAACTATTTTCTGCGAACGAATGAGATGCAACGCAGTTTTTTATTGATGGATGTAGGATTAAACCAATAAACAAAGGTGTATGTGTCTTAATTTGTTTACAATAGGTGCCAACTTACGATAAATAGACTATAATGACAACATGAAGTTCACAGAAATTATTGCAAAAACGCAAAGAATCCTTCGTTCGCGCGTATAGTACGACCTAGGTTTTTGAAGCAGTGAAAAATGAATAAAAACCTTATCTTATATGCGAGTAAATACGGTATTTGTCTTTAAGCTTTATCCCCGGGAAAGCTTTTTGCAGATGTCCATGTATTGTAATTTTTCACAGTTCTCTTTATATACGTGTATTATTATTATTTATCACTCAGAAATCAATTTCTTTGAACATGTATTTAAATTTAATAATCAGATATTTCTAATTCCAGGTCATCATAAAGGACCAGACGCACCAGAAACAAGAAATGCTCTGAAAGAAATGGATAAAATTTTAGATCATCTTCAAGGTCAGATATCGCAACGTGGACTTGCTAATCAGGTTTGTCTTATATAACCTTTTAAAAATTATTTTCAATATTATAAATTTATCTGAATGGTAGACTAGCCCAGTAGGAAATTCCCGATTTTCTGATGGGCCGTTTTTTCATATGCGTTATATTTTACCCGAGAAAAATAAGGTAATACCAAAATACAATCACTGTCTATTATACTATATTTAATAAAGTCTTATTCTAACTCAGGCCGTAAGTGGTCGTTCCGTAAGTCCAGGCCGAATATCCGTTCCTATGAGACGTACCGTACAGTACAATACAGTCCCATAGGAACGGATATTCGGCGCTCCACGATGAGCATTTTGTAATTTGAAAATAACTGATCACAACTTGGGCCGTAGGCTGTCAAGATGAGGCTCGTATTAGACTAATGCTCGGTACTTGACAGCAGTCGCTAAAAAATCAAAATAGTAAATAATATCAGTTACAAGGTTTACATCCACAAAATATTTTTTTATGTTATATTGTTATAACCGGTTCCTGTTTATTTCCAGTCTTCTATTATACTTTAATTTCTTATAAGCGTTCGTATATTTTTGAAAAAATATCTGATAATAATTGATTAACTGAAACATTACATAAAACGTCACAGATCCTGCATGTTAAAAACTCTTTTTAAAGAGCAGTATCTGTTAACCAATAAGAATACCATCAAGAAAAGAGAATTTTTTTTTTCTTGAAAATATAGGGCTGTCTATAAATTACGTAACACACATATGGATACGTGAGAGTGCAGATAATCGTTAGGATACGTTACAAGGAGGTGGGCTGTTTACAAAAACGTTACGTAATGTTAAGATTAATCATATTCGTTATTGTAAACCGCGCTTGAGTTAGGCGCTATCTGTTCATTTTTTGTATGTCCGACCATCGAAAGACCGCTCGGGATCGAGTCTGTTTATAATTTGAAAGATAACCTTGTCAGTTGTATATACAAAAGGTAAATTGTTTACAAACTGAGTCTTTGTTTATTATCTGATAAATGTATACTTTATTTCGTCAATTGTTCACGATTTCAGATGCCTTTTGTGTAAAATTCAAGTCGGATGTAAGTAAGCTAATAAATGTTCTCGTTAATCTTATCTCGCCTTTTTGATTCATTCACGGTTACAAGAAATCACCATACGTAATGCTACGGTCTAAACTCTTGGTAACAGAATGATTCATCTTTGCTTCTGGAGTGTAGCATAGCGAACGGTACTGTTTATTTCACTGCTTTGTACGTTATACATGTAATTAACAAAGTAATTACATAAGGAATAATAAATAATAAAATAAGACAATTGGGGATAACGCAGCGTTACGTAATTTTAGGAGGTTAAATGTACTGTACGACAACATTACGGGGAATGGGGTGATAGTTGAAAAGTATACAAATAGTGTTATGTAATTTATGGACGATTCCTTTTCTTTTATCTCTTCTAATTTCTAAATCATTTGTTGAAAATATATTTTGAATAAGTTTTAAATTGAATTTGCGTAGAAATTCTTATAATTCTCAGAAAATATTTTCGTAATTTTCCTAGATAATACAGTACTTCATGTTATACATCTAAATTTATAATTCTCATTGTATTAGAAGTGCATATCAAATTATCAGATAAATAAATGCATTTTATTTTAAAGAATTAATGTAATAATTATCAAATATATTATATATTCTGTTTATATAGGTAAGCATTGTTATCGTAAGTGATCACGGAATGACCAATACTGGTCCGGAATATGTAGATGAGATTAGCTTGGAACCGTTTGCCGATGATATAAAATATAGCTTATATAAAGGATCATCTACTATGATTCAGCCTGTAGAAGGAAAATTAGATAAAGTAAATATATACTTTTTCTTGATTCCTATTTACTTCATACCTTTTAATAAGAATGCGTTAACGTTGATTATTTTAATATTTCAGCTATACAATGACCTAAAACAAGCAAATATTAAAGGATTGCAAATATTTAAGAAAGAAGAAATTCCCGAAAAATATCACTTTAAACATAACAAATATGTTTTGCCATTGTTTTTATTAGCAGATAAAGGATATTTTATTAAAGCGGTAAACAATAATCGTTTATCATTACATCAGTATTAACAAAGATCTTCAAAAGCATATTTTCGATACATATTTTTATAAAAATAACCAAATTAAATTATTTTAAATTTAATATTGAAACTATCAAATATTTAATTAGTTAAGTTTTTTTTATTATTCAGATAATTACTTTATGTTGTTATTTCATAAAAAGTACGTGAAATAAACATAGATATTTATATATTTTATATTTTTCAAGCTTAAAAGGTTATTATATTTCTTTTCATTCTTTCTTTCTTTATACAGCTTTCTGATTTTAACAAAACCCGAACGAAATCTGAACCCATTATTTATGGTTATCATGGATATGATCCAAACGTCGTTGAAGACATGAGAACTATATTCTTTGCTAGAGGACCAGGTAAATCTATTCAACAAGTAAATTATGTCTTTTTCAGTTTATTTAGAGTTCTAGTTCCTCGAAATCTGACTTTCTTCAAAAATACACGACTGAATCTGTAACAAGTATTGATATATCTATAATGCTAAATATTTAATAATGCATTATAAATTAATTTATTATAACATTAAATTGCATTAATGTAGTGAATAATTCGTCAATGTTTTATAACTGTTCATTTATAATTAGACTAGCAGATGAACCCGACGTTGCCCGGGCAAAAAAATAACAACACCGAAGGTTAAGATTAGAAGTACGAAATAATCTTTTAGGTAATTTCATACTTCTTACCCTTTATTGTATTATAGTATTTGATTTATATAACTACAAAGATTATCTTAGGCAAAGGTATCACACCGAGTGATCAATCAACACATTTTAAAAATTCTTTAATTAATTAAATTGTTGTACAGTAGAGTTTTAAATTTTTAAAATGTGTTAGATTGGTCGCTTGGTGTGATAAACCTTTACATAAGATAACCTTTGTAGTTTTATAAACCAAATACTAAAATATAACAAACATTAAAACGAAAACCATATAAAGACTTTGGTAATTTCAGCCTATCACTGTCATGTTTTACTCAGACGGTACTAAATGGTACACTTTCAATGATCAAGTAGACAGCAATTGAAAATATATCTTAAACTTTTTCAGATATCATATTTTTTCCTAATGTTAATTCTAAGAAACTGTACCATTCACAGCCGAATATCAAACGGTAACATGCCAACGAATCAAATTTCGCGAAAAACAGACCAAATACAAACTCTGCGAACCTCCAAAACCTTTAAAACATATTTTTTGCTCGCTGGTAACCTTGTATTATGCAATTTTTTGTTCGAATGCCACCATACCGCTGGTTTGATAGAAAGAAGGGGCTGTTGCAAAAGAAAGTTGAGGTAATTCGACCAAAAGTAGTCGTTGACAATTCTTTCTCCCGGGAGATCAACGACTACTAATTAATACTGGTCTACTATTAATATTTGAAAAATGATCCCTGTTGGATAGGTTGCGATGGCCCCACATGTGATCGTAGTTGCTAACCTTAACGTCTGAAAGACTTCATATGATGTGTTTAAATATAAAAACTTTTGTAAAAATGCAAGAATAATTGCTTTTATGTGATAATAAAGTGTTTATATTTGCAACAGATTTATAAACTATAAGGAAAGTATGTTCTCGTAAATATCGCGTTTATAGAAAAATTATTGGGTTGCAATTTAAAAAAATTGTAGCCTATAAACTCTGTCTGCCCGTCTTTCTTTAATCTCGAGAAAGGAGTTAGATAGATGAAAATCGAGACCACATACGGAAAGCTTAGGGCAAAAGTTCCAGATTAACTATATACGAACTTTTGAACTTTGAACCAGAAGTTACGTTACTTGAATTCAAAATTTTTTTCTCTGAAAGGAGTCAGATAGATAGCGGGCACAATTCTATTGCTAACAGGAAAAATATGATGTACAGGAGCAATAACACCACTAAAAGAATTGAGAACATTATGGCGAAAAGTTGCAGCCAGACATTGTGATGATGTCACAATAAATATTCGCTTATTAGAATTAGTTTGGTTATTTGGTTATGGCAACGTGACACTCGAGCGATCTGCCGAGGGGGGTGCATCCCGGGAAGACTTTTATGGGAAGCCGAACCCTATTTAGGTGTTACTAAAAGGAAGAAATCCCGGAAAACTCCACGTAGCCAGCCTGTTGGCCATGCCCGAACCTATAACTACCAATGTTCAGTGGTTTCATCTATTTGGCTACTGGAGGGCACCTATACAATTAAGAAAATGCCGTTCAGAAATGAAAAAACTCGAGTTGTTAGATGTGGAAACATAAATACTGTACTTTTGGACTTTTTTCAGGCTTACGCAGGCTTAAACACTTTCGATTCTACGCAGACAAGTGCTATGTTCTACCTGTCTCAGTAACGATGTAGTGCGCCTATTTCGTGCTATAGCATTCTCGCAAAAAGTGAATATAATATATATATATATATTTAAAAAATATTCTATTTTTTATAAGAATTTTATTTATTTTGGTAAAGTTTTTGCTAATAGATGGCGCTACGTGTAAATCACAAAACCGAATGTACTGTACAGTACAGTACAATAGAAATTGATTTATAGAAATGCAATTGATACTTCGGGCGGGATAAACGACATGATCTAAATTAGAAGTATTTGAATGTAACTGCCGAATTTCGTAGCAATTGGTCGAATGGCCTAGGAGTGTATAGCGAACGAACAAACATACTGATTTATATAGAGATTAGCTTACAATTCCAGTAAAATTTAACTTTATACAACTTATTGATAAACTTCATATATATTTTTCTGTTTTACTTTGGTATTTATCATTTATTAGTTGAAAGACACTTTAATAGTCTATATCTGTCGATAAAGTAATGCAATTTATATTACCTAATTATGTTAATTTATTATAAATGGACAACTTCCTAAGAAAGTCTCAAAATGTAATAATTTTGAGACTTTCTTAGTTTACTATAAATATCACAAGCATAAATATATAAATACAGTATATATTTTTACTTAATATTTCCAATAGCGAATGGCAGTATTGTTGATAGAAACATACAGAAGGCGATGGATCAATTAGTTTTCTTCTGGATACAGCCTTTTATATCAATATACTTCTGTGTATTAAACCATAGTACAAAAAGCAAACAAGCAGAAAAATTCTTAAAGTTTACCTTTGTTTTGTAATTATCGTTTTATATAGTTTAACTGTAACTTTAGAATATATAATATTATCGTTCATTGATTTATGCACTGTATATTCATATTCAATGGATTTAAACCTTTTTTTTTTTATCAAACTCAAAATCATCAATCATATTCTTATGTACTATTTGCAACAGTCTAACTAATAACAATTAAAATACAATAACGTACTGGTATAATATATACAGATTTTGGTAAGTTATAAACGTTATTTTAAAAATTAGTTTCTTTTTAATGTTTGGTTACAGATAGTTATCTGTAACCAAACATTAACTGTGTATATCTGTATATTGGTTACATATCTGNCATGCATTAGAACTTATATAACGTAATACAAATATTATAACGATAAAAAATTAAATATTTATTATATATAGATATATTTTATTTCAGGTCTAAAGAAGAATTATCTTTCGCCTCCAATTGAGAATGTAGACCACTATAATTTAGTTTGTAAGCTGCTACAAATGGCTCCTTTGAAAAATAATGGTTCTTGGGATAGAGTAAAAGATATGCTAGGTGAACTTCCTAATTCTGGATCCACTATTAAACCTTTATTTTTATTAGGAATTATATGGGTGGTGAAATTTATATTTTTCATTTAGAGATATGTCTTTATGCTACATTTTAGACGATATATTGATATATAAACAGATAATTTCTCGATAGGAATGTTTTTCCAATTTTGTTGTAAAATTCTATCGTTTTTTCTTATGAATTAAATCAAAAGCAATCTATATCGGAAGGCTGAAAGAACATATTACAATGAAAACGTCATTTCAATTTGATATGATTTTTTTAGTAACCTATATTCCGAAGTACCGTACATTCAAACCTCTGAACAACGGTCACTAACGGGAACATAAATAATGGCCTTAAATAGAACGGGCTCAGCAAAACATTAAACAATAACCAAACACCTTTATCGTTACCGAGAAAGTTTATTTAAAACAAACGTTTTCGATCTATTCCATAGGCCATCGTCAGGTTGAAAACGGACAATTGGAAGATTTCGTTCCACAAGATCGAATACAAATATTTAAACCAAACACCTTTCTCGGCAACGATAAAGGTGTTTGGTTATTGTTTAAATAATGGTCATTGTTTGGAGGTTATTTAATATGCACTTCAAAACAAAACGACTGTGAAGAAATGCCGCCATTTAAAGATGGTCTTTATTGGAGGTTTTACTGTATTTTAAATATTCTAATTAATCTGTTTTTAAATATCCATTAATACATTTTAAACACATATATACATTTTTAATTTTAAAACTGTATATTGTCTCGCAAAACTGTAATATAAAAGCTAATATAAATAATCATGAAGTTCATTTATATAATAAATATACAATTTATGTGTATATATATATATATATGTATATGTATGTATATTATACATAAGCTATATATAAAAAAATAACAATGTATTTTAATTAATAAAAAAATATTGAAAACTTTTAGCAGTTGTCATATCTATTATATACGAGTATATACTGTATATGTAAAGGAATAAGCATTGAAAAACGTCACACAGAGCCAATATTTCATCTATGGCACGTGATCTATATTTTACCAATCATGCAAGTCTAACATCGCACTACAGCGAAACGAAAGTTCCGCCATTACTTGTCTCTTCGAAGATTTAATCTACGATTTCAAGTACTTACAGCACTATTCGATTTAAAAATTTGTCGTAATCTGCATATATTCTGATAGTATTTATACATTTATTAAATACGTATTTTTCCTAATTAGTTTCGTATTTATAGTTTAAGATGTTTCATCTTAAAGATTTCTATTCCGCTTAATAATAATCGCGGTGCTTCCGGCTCTGTTAGTGTGGTTCTATTTTACCTTTTAAAATTTACTTTCTTAGATTTTTAATTAAAACTTTTACATTCCACAAGTTTTTATGCTAAATCTAATGCATAATCAATCAACGCCATTAATTTAAAATAACTTTTTGTTTTATTCACACATATTAATTTCTAAGTCATCAATCAATATATATAATAAAGGTAAGTGTACAATGTGCGTGCTGCTAAAACTCAAAAACGAGTCCCGGTACGATCAAGGGAGTTATATGGTGTGGTAGCCCTCTATCCCCCATCCATGAAGAAGATTCCCGTTTTTACCTGAAGGGCGTGCTATTGAAGATATAAGGGCTGGAAGTTAAGGCTTACCCTGAAGAACTCGGCTTCTATTGTACTATTTTTAGATGCGATTTTTTGCGTTTTTGACTGCGTTTTAGTAGGCTACCACATTTAATAGTGTACTACGGGGGATGAAAGAAACACTTCTTTTATCCCCCGTGGTACAGTACTTCTTTCCTTAACAATGGAAGTGTTAACATGGAGTGTTAAGAATGGAAGTGTTAACATGGAGTGTTAAGAATGGAAGTGTTAAATTAAAAACGAAAGTGTTGAGTAACAATGGAAGTGTTAAGAGAAAGCGGCGTGCAAGATTTACAGGCGCAGATGCGGTGTTTTGCGTTTTTGCAGAAAATCGAACATATTTTTAGACCCACGTAAAAATTCTCTAATTAGTCTGGAAACGGGGGACCTAATTCTTGCATTCTGTGAAAACGGGTAAAATTGGCTATAATGTAATTCTAATCTTAATCTTAAATGTTTTGGAATAGTCGAGGACCGTTATGTGTGAGTAATTGGAATGGCTTTTGGAGACATGTGACGCACATACTTCAGTTGATTTTTCATAAGTAAAAGTGTACGAATAACAGAAAAAAGTAGAAAGTGAAAAGTAAAAAAAAAAAAAAAAACAATGCCAAAGCATAAGAAAGAATTTTTGCGGTCTCGAATCATATCTCAAAGGAAAAAGATGGCGCGGAGAAATGAAACCACGGAAGAAAGAGAAGTACGTCTAACATTGCTACGAGAAAATTATCAACGAAGCAAAAATAATCAGACAGAAGAGCAACTTGAAAAATATAGAGAAACACGTCGAATCAGAGAAAGATTATGTAGAGGAAGAGAAACAGTCTTTTAGCTATTAAAAAAACTATATTACATATAAATGTACGGACAAATAAAAACCCAGCGAAGCGGGTACTTGCAGCTAGTAAATGTATAACTATAAGGAAAATAAGTACAATTCAAATTGCAACATAAAAGGAATTTAATGAAGACTCTATATCATGTACTGTATATAGGTTATTAGAAGCGTGATTGCGCCGCGCACCTACTAGTAAATCAATATAACAAAATTAAATAATTTATAATAACAGTTTTTATTAATAAATTCAATAAGTAATAAATTCATTTCAAAAGTTTTGAATCAAAAAATGCATAACATAGATTCATAGAACAAGAAACATACGACATTATTATATAAGTCTAATGAAATATAAGTCTACTTTAAAAAATGAAAATAAAAATAATGAAATACGAATTAATACATATTACTGATAGTTATCTTTATCATGTTTTTCAATGATCTTTAATTGATCATCTCGATTTTAGGGCAGCGCAGAATAGTTTTAGCCCCTGAGGCAAACCTCATACCTATCGCCCCTGATTCAACGTTAATTACAAAAAATTTCTACGGGTTCATTTTGTCGGCCCAAGGTCAGCACCCAGAGTATGTGCCCACCTTCACTCCCTTAGTTACGCCGCCGCTGCTTGATTTATATCAATTCTTCAGTTTAGTAACATTAACTAATACAGGTACTTTAATTTATGGATTTACGAATTTGATGTCTCTGAAAAACGATAATAGGAACAATATTATTTTGCACTCAATATAATTGGAATGGTAGATTGACAAGGTTAGCTAAGTCTTTCCTTTAATTTCACTTTTCCTATAGTTTGTATATAAATTTTGTCGTAAATGTGTTCCGCTCAAAACACAGCATGTAAATCTTCCTTTCACATAAAGAATGTGTTATTCGTCGTACCAATAAAAGCACAGTAAGTCTTTCATCTGACATTACAGTTCATTTATTTATTTAGATATAATGCCATTTTCAAATTCATTTCATTGCATATTTAATTACAACTATACGCTATCACATGACATTTATTTTTTATTTCTGCGTTATTATATCAATATTATATATTATGTGTTATTATATTAGTTGTTTATCACTGATCAGAAAACGTCCACCAGTGGCCGAGTAAATGAAACTACTGAACACCGGTCGCAGGTTCGCACCTCGCCAACGGGCTCCTCGTAACACCTGAATAAGGGCCAGTTTCCCATAGGAAGTCCTCCCGGGAGGCATTCCCCCTTGGCAGATCGCCCATATGTCGTGTTGCCGTAAACCAAACTGATCAGAAAACTATTGTTTGATAAATCACAGTTCATCTTCTATATCAATAGATTTGGTTAAAATTTAAATCTATTGAAAGTGGCCTCGAATGCTCAGTTGCTTGGACTTATCTCTTCTGTAATAATTGAAACCATTTAGCTCTCCATTTAGGCTTTGTCAGCGAGAAAACGGAACAAGAAATCTATATAAAGGTATGTGGGGGCCGAGGAGGGAGAAATTTTAAAAAACTAAATTAACGATAATATGTGATATATATCGTCATCGTCTCCCTTGCCGTTTGGACTGCCGAGCGATAACAATCAACCACATATGGAAGCAGTTGAGTCAGAGATAGATGTCTCGTTTACAAACAACACAACCGTTTATTAAACACGAAAGAAGCTTACAAGATTTCCGCGATCTTGGAAGTTCTACGGCGGCTGCGGCCTCTGAGTCTTCCTCTCCTTTCCAAGATAGTCCCATTTTGAAGGAGTGTCCCTTGTTCGCGAATGAACAATTCGATCGACGTCTCGACGGCTCCGGGACGATGCAGTCGACTTCCGTTGATGGAAAGATGTCGATCCGAGGTCTGGAGATGGAGACGAAGATGGGCGCGAGACACACGCACAACAATAGATCCGCCACTTGGAACTTTCGGGAGAAGAAGCCGTCGCGTCCTTAAATTCCCGGAGATTTATCCGTTTTCCTCCGATTCCCCTTTCCGATTGGTCTCTCCTTATCGCATGATGATAATTAGAAACCTTTCGGGGGCACGGGAGAGGTCAAAATCGAAGTTTAATTCGATCTTCAACCGGAAATAGTCGACGGATTTACATTCTTCTATTGTTTAAAAGTTAGCGTCGCGTTTTCATATAAAAAATTTATTTCTAACTACTATTTTTTTTCTTTAAAAAAGTTATTTTAACGCAAATTTTAATGAGGGTTCGGATCTGTCCAGAGCCTCACATATAATAAGAAATCCAGCTAGTTGAGACCGAAAAAATAGATAACCAAATTCGCTCTGCAACACCATATACTCTACCAAAAAGAACCAATATGGAGACTGCCGCAATGCATCACGGTATCGTGTTTTTAACGCTTTTCCACCCCATGAGCATTAATAGGGCCTCTTTTAGCAAACCCATTATGGGTTCAGCCAGTCCCACAATGGGTGGTGAGGGACGGGGTCCGATAAATCCGGGCCACTATCTGAAAAATTCCTGGAGCTTTTTCGACCCCGTATCCCCAAAGCGGTAGGCTGCCACCTTGATCGCTCGGCTATGCGGTCATCCATGGTATCGTGTCCCGATCTTGTGTGATAGATTGTAGTTCGTCGTTTCTGCAAACTAAGTTAAAGTAACGCCATCTATGAAGAAACCGACAGTGTCATCTTGTGTCCCAAAGACTTTAAACTACAAGGATAGCCAGATCCCGTATATTTGTTAGCGTGACCTTGGAACTATGTGACGTCACAGCAAGCCCTCTACTTCAACATGACAGATCTTTCAAATAACAAAATACGATAAAATATTAAATCATTTCTTAATTAATTATAAAATTACTACTAAATGTAAACTACTGTAGAATTTTCGGATTTAATAAGTGTACTGTACGTCAATAAATTTACAAGTCTTTTGTCTAATATTTATTTAACAAATTAATGAGCTATATTTTTTATTATGTGATTATCTTACTTAACTTTTTAATTTTTTTTCGACAATCACCATTTTCAGAAGGCATTCTTTTCAATATTTTATAGTTTTCTTGTTTAAGATTTCTATAATTAATTCTTATTATAGTTCTTAATTTACAAAAATCTTTTATTAAAGTAAAAGGTAAAACTGTTTCCACTGACTAATTCTGTACAACTCCGGGGCCTTTTTTATACGATTCATCGTGATATATTTCGAAATATTTATTCCATTCTATAATTTTTGCTAGCCATTCATCAGTAGGTTTAATAAGCCCTCCATAAGATAAATGTTGCACCCATGACGGAATGCTATAGTTGTAATGATTTTTAATTTTGTTAGTGGAATTAATTAAGTTTGGGTATTTTTCTTTATATTTATAGGCAAAATATCCTGCTATATACTCGAGAGCATCGTAGGAAGTTTCTTCAGAGATTGTGTTAAAGTCTAGATTGCATGTAGAGTTTCCTGAAGATTTATTTGAAGAAAAAGTAGTTTTACATTCAGTATATTGGTCTGTATTTTCACTTGATACTTCTACATGTGCTTTCTCTAAAACTTTGGGTATAATATATTCCTCTTGTCTTCGATCTGTAGTATTTACTTTTGACTCTAAAATACCAGGATTCTTACCTAAAATAATCAATCTAATCCTATATATAGCATTTAATGGGCTTGGATGTTCATTAGGACCCCGGCTTCTATTTTAAAAAAAAAAGTTTTCCAGACAATCTTGATTTAAATTGTGAGTGCAGATGTATTTTATATCAAAAGTCGATTTCATATCTTGAAAAAGATCAATTAGCGATTTCATTGAGATTATCATTCCTTTCTGGAAAATTTGGAGGGCATTTTTTCCACTTGCTCTCATTGTTGAGATTATTTTTATCATTTTATTTAAATGTTCTTCTTGTAATTCCAAGTCTACACCATATCCATTTTTGCTTGGAACAGAACCTTTTGGTGCATAGCTATTAAAAATGTCGAACCACATATTTATATCTCTAATATACGTTTCATTGATAATAATAATTGATTCATAATAAACGTTTCATTGATATTCACATTCAATTCTTTCCATAAACTTATGTTACTGCAACTACAGTCACTGACGCAAGCTACTACATTATACGATAGTAAATAAAGTTCTGCTATTAATTTTAAAAGTATTTCTCTTGTCATTTTTTGATCAAACCCGATGTAAACAGGTTGCTTCCAATTTGAAAAAAGAAGGTTATTATTGCAACCATACACAGCACACCTAGTACTCAGCATTTTGTTCTTCACCTAACATAAAAACATAGCTTTAAATATTTAATGACTTATATTTAAATCATCTTACCTTATAAAAAACTTAGTCAAATAAAACAATTACAGAAATATTAAAATAAATCACTTCGTTAATCACAAAGGATATATCGCGCTTTTTCTTTGTCTCCGGACAAGCGCGATATAACGACGGGCTACTACTGTATTTCGAAATTTGCTCTTGGGCTCTTTAAATTTATAATTATGGACTTGAATGAAGCTTAGTTGATCGCATAAAAGCCACGGACTGTGAATTGTTTATTATTTAATTAATCACTTATCTAAATGATCGACTAAATGGTCTTGCGGCAAGGAGTCAATCTATCGAGATATAGATGATCCGGATTCACATCCAATTCAAAACTCTATAATTTATCATGGATAATACAAATCGAAATAATATTTGCCATTCTTTACTGATGTCGGCTGATGTCCTTTCTGGTAAGCAATGTGGATGTTCTAACAGATGAAATTACTGCTGGTTGTATTCTCTTATGCTGGTGTTTCTCAATGGAAATCAAATTATATTACAACCAAATGATGACCGAGTGTTGACATTAAACGAAACCCCGACCAAATGATAATTTTTTAGCTTAAACTTCAACCAAAAGTGAACTTTCACAGTGGTTGTTACATCAAGTTGTATTAATCTATTTATAATAATTTAAATTATTATTATAATTTTTATGCAGAAAACTACTAAATATGAAAAAAAACTATAAAAATTGTATTTTTAAAAATTATTTTAGTTTTATACTAATAAGATGGCAACAATGACTTTGTAGACAATCAATCATGGCGGCATTTTTGTGTGTTTTTTGTACTTTAAATATTATTTTACTGTCTGCCGTAGTTTATTCTTCTGATTGTAAGTGCTTTTTAATTAATTTTAATTTAACAAATCCGTGCTAAGTTCGTCTGTTTATCAAAATGAGACGAAATTGTTTAATTCGAGGTAGTGATCATAATGACATTTTCAGTTAATTCTAAATGTTCTAAACCAATGGTTCACAATTAGTTTTTCCTGCGTACCACTTCAAGAAAGAGCTCAAACTCGCGTACCCCTATAGCAGAAATTTATATTAATCCATACTAATAATATAAATTCGAAGGTAATTCTGTCTGTCTGTCTGTCACCTTTTCACGTCTAAACCACTGAACAGGTTTTAATAAAATTTGGCACAGAGATAGCTTACATGTTGGAGATGGACATAGGCTACGTTTTACTGCGAGGAAATATCTTATTCCCACGAGAAAATTCGTTATAATGCGGGCGAAGCTGTGGGTAGACAGCTAGTGATAAATAGAATAAGTTGGTTTTTTTACATTTATTACCTTTAAAATACAATTCTAATAATAATGAAAATAACATAAGGTTATTTAATTTTAATGTGGCAAATGTGCATGATTTTCTTTGCACAACTTTGTAAAATCTGGTTGCTTTTTGGTCAGCTTCAGTCTCAAATCATCTTAGAGTTGAAGTTGGTGACGATGTCTAGTTTTCATGTTTGTCATGGCTGAAAATCCACTCTCTCAGAGGTATGTTGTGCAAAATGGTAGTAAATATTTTATTGCCACTTCGCTAACATGATAATAATGATAATTGTACAATTAACACAATTTTTGTTTCTTGCGTAAGAATTTCATTTAGGTATTGTCACAAATGCATTTTTTTGATGAAATTTCAAGAATATTTTTAGTTATAAATAAGTGAATTTCTGCATTCGACATCATGTTGTAAATTGCTGAATTTTTGATGGTCCCTCCATTATTTTTTTGATTGCTTCATCTCATGCATTTAAATTTTAAGTTGACCAATTTTAGATTGCCATGCGTACCCCTTCATGCAATTTTGTGTACCACTAATTGGGAGCCATGGTTCTAAACCAAAGGGTAATGAAGGATAAACTTTTACTTAAAATTTTTCAAGAAAACTTACCGCATGTTAAAATAAAGAAATTGCTTTTAGTCCTTGGTATAATTAAATTAAAAATCTACTAATGTGAGATAGATAATAAGGACTTATCACACCAGTGATAAGCACAAACACCCAAGTGTCAATGGAGTACATTTAATAAAAACAAAAAGGGTGTACATTAAAATCGATTACATGAGTAATTAACATGAAATAACCAAAATGCATTTTGGACTATCGGAATAGTCCCTCTTCAGTTGGTATACATATAAAAAAGTTATAAGTTATACCACCTGAAGAAGACCTCGGTGGAGGTCAAAAACATTAGTGAAGATTGTTACGGACACAACACTGTTATAAAAAAGGTTTTGTGGATTGTTATTACTCAATGCAGTGTTAAGATTAGAAGTCGTTTTGTGTTAAAAAGTTATAATACTTAAAATTACACAAGATAAAGGAACCACTATAAAGTTATGATCATTGAACATTAAATGGGTGCAGAGAAGACAGGTTTAAGAAGGCTTCGCGATGTTACACAGTAGCTTGACATAAGAGTTACTAATACAGACAGTATTAAAAATTAGTGGAATAATAAGGTAATGATGCTATACAAAACAAATTATATCTACATATCATAACAGTATATATATCAAGCTATAAATAAATGCAATATTGTTATATTTTGTGGCATTCTAAAAGATAGTCTGATGTTTTAAGATTTAAATGATGTTCAATATGGAAATTGTTTCCTCTACATTACATAAAGCTAAATAAAATCAATACAAATAAAAATTTTTGTTATATTTTGTGGCATTGTAAATAATACTGCCATGATTGTGGAACTGGAATATAGAGTTAATGCAATCTCCCTTCATGTCTGCTCTATGACTTTCAAGAGCCTCCAACAAATATATTATTAAGTTTAATGTGTTTAGTTAGGATAGTTATAATTGTCAATTATAATGATCATTACAATGTTGATATTTAGGATTATTTAGGTAATGCATTTAGAATTTTTTATTTTACAATCTATATAAAGTAAATTATTTTTGACTTTATTCATTATACTCATTTTTGAATGAAATATTTCTATTAGACTGTTCTGATAACTTTTGTTCAGAAATTTAATTACTCATTGAAATATGATATATATATATTTCAGTAAAAATATATATATATATATTAATAAGATAAAATATTATTCCAATGCATATACACAAACATGAATATAATTGTGAATTTATCTGTAAACTTAAAATATAATTTGATCATTTTAACATATTTTTAGAAAGTAATACAACAATGATAATATAATACATTTCATGCATTTCAGTCATCTGTTTTCTCTAAAAAGATACAGATTGTGAATCTTTTCATATTTATTTACTAAACAAAGTGTTTCTTTTAAAGAAATAACAATTAAATGATATTTGAGATATTTGATATTTCTTAAGAATTAATTAGGCTATTACAAATATATTTAATTTAAATTAAATTTATTTCAAAACTGAATTCTGATTAGAGATTTGTTTAGTAGTAATTTTAAAATCTCAATCTAAAATTGCTTCAAATTATTGCACATGCACAGTATAAGTGCCTAAAGGAAAAAAGAAAATTTCAAGTAGTGTTATCTAATCAAGTATTAATGATAACAATAGAGAATCATGATATAAACAGTAAAAATAAGTTCATAATTTTATTAAAAATAATTCAGTAAAATTAACTGATATTTAGGTAATAANAATTCTAAAGGCAGATAACATAAATTATTAATATATATATATATATTAATAAATGTGCAGTTTTATCTATATTTGCTTTGTTTAATATAAATAATGGTAGAAACAAACTCATGATTACATAGAATAGTGTTTCCCAAACTTTTTTGAGCCCCTGTCCCCTTGGTTCCATAAACTTCTGCCCCTAACCCTTTTTCCTTGTTTGAGAAAAGCCTGCCTGGAAATATTCGTAGAAAAACTTTTCTATGAACCTCAAAATATGTCTTTACTCCATATCTGGAAACCATTAAACACAATGTTTTTTCTTAACTATTTTAATGATGAAAGGGACTGTTCAGTCAGGACCCTGACTCCAGTACTCCCTGCCACCACCATTTTATTGTTCCTAGGTTTATTCACTGCCCCAGGGAGCAGTAGTATTCACTTTGGGAACCACTGATATAGAATAATGTCATGTTGTTGGAATTAATATATGTCTGAAATTACTAACCAACCAACCAATCTGAAATTATTATCATCTTTTAACAATAATAGAGACTAACATTTATTTATATTTTAACATATATTTATAATTTATGTGATGTCTTAGAAATATCATCTTCAATGTCTCTTATTTGTTAACTCATTAAAATATTTCCAAATGTAAGTTTATAATATAAAATTTTTGTAGACTTATTTTATGTTAAAATATTAATTAATTATATTATAGATCATTATTTTACAGCTGTTTACTTAGAAACTGGAAAAAATTATAATAGAACTAGTGAAATAGATATATATTGCCACAGAGGAATTGAAAAAGCCATTTCAAACACTTGGAGGAGTGTTTATGTAAGTATTGATAGAATAATTTATCATATATTTTTTCATTATTATCCAATATTCTCTCTACTGCACTTTTTGTTTTTATAATTATTTTTTAATTTGTTTAAAGGTGGATTTTACTTTACAAAGATTCATATTTGTGTTTTATTTTAATTTTTTTTTTTTTGACTGAAATAAGTGAATCACATGATGTAATATTTGTGATTAATAGAAAATAGCTAAATAATGCTGTCAATCTGTTTTTTTACAAAACAAAAGTTATCTCTATTTATCAATGAACCATTTAATGACATTACTGACATTAAAAAAGATAATTTAGTAATGTAAAAAATTTTATTCAGACAAACAATACATAAATTAATATGTTGCTACCATTTTAAACCTACTCAAATAGACTTTCAATCAAATAGAATATATTATATTAATAATATGTCAATAAAACATAAATAAACCTTTTTTAAATTATTTTAACATATTTTGAAACTTGAATATCATCTTGAAATTAAGAATACAACTTTATACTAAATATTTTGTAATTAATATAAAGTTATACGTAGTACAATCCAAAAGTTCAGGGACTTGGCTTAAAATTCCTTACCTTAAAAAGTTTATATTGCCGATGCATACCCACCTTTAAAGTAATCACCTTGGGCAACGATACACTTTTGCCAGCGCTCGTATAACTTCTGGAAGCACTGCTGGAAGCCATTTTTTGAAACCTCCCGTAAGGCCTCCTGCAATGCTGCTCTCACCTCATCTGATGACACAAAACAGTGTCCCTGCAAATGCTTTTTCATTGATGGAAACAAATAAAAATCACACGAGGCTAAGTCCGGTGAATAGGCGGGGTGTGGAAGCACATTAATTTGAGTTTTCATGCAGAAGATACCAGTCTCCACTTTGCCAGATCTGTGGCCATTTACGACAAATGAATTCCCTCAAACGACATAAAATGTCTAGAATGTCTTGTTTACTGTTCTGCCTTTAGGAATAAATTCTAAATGAACAATTCCTTCAGAATCAAAAAACACCTCCATCGTGACTTTTCCTTTGTTAAGATTTTCCGTTAAAATACGCTAGCAACTAGTCTTTGATAAGTGAGTAGCCGCAGCAATTTTTTCAAGAGTTTGGCTGCAATCTTTGCAAACATATTGAGAGTCCAACTCAACATTTTCCTTGTTCCGTGAAGTCAAAGGTTGGCCAGAGTGTTCATTGTCTGCAATGGATTCTTGGCCCTCTTTAAAATGCCGATGCCATTTGTACAGCTTTGATTTCACCATGATAAAATCACCATACACCTTTCTTAGTAATTTTAAAGTCTCCATAGGTGTTTTACCTAAACGCTGACAAAATTTAATGTTGCAGCACTGTTCTTGAAACTCCATTTTTATTATTGTGAAACCACCGGAAGGGGGTAGGTCTCCCAATCCGGCAACAGGTTGTTAAACCCTTTCACTGTCAGGATGGGTGGTTGAAGGGTTCTTTTTCCCGTTGTAACGGGTCGAGTGGCGGAGGGAGGAGCACGTCGGTGAGACGACAGGCGATATACGAGGAAACGAGGAGGCCAGATATAACATAAGAAAAAGTAACAATTTATTAAACCAAGTAATACAACGTATAGTTCACGTCCCTAAAACACGGGGAGACCGAGAGAGAGCTTACAATAATTGGTTCCATACCTCTTGATCTGTTATCCACGCTACTCTTTGAATTAGGAAAATTTCTCTTCTAGGAAAGTTCACTGATGTAGGAAAGGTCACTGTTTAACTATTTGAATCCTGGATTTAGGGAAGTTCACTAGACAAAAAGGACACTATTTGAAATTGGTCTTCTTCCGGCACCTGCTCTGGTACGACTCCCCCGAGAAGGGGAAGGAAGGGGTTTTTATAAGTTCGGCGTGGGAGAATGGTCACGTGATTGATTGTTGTGAGGTAAAAGGTATGTAGATGGGTCAGAGTTGTTCCCGGGACCATGCTAACTATCAACTTTGGCGTTGGAATGTGGGATTAGTTTCGAATTGAACGGATGTTTATGTCGAATGTAAACGAAAAGTTTTTTTTTCGTTAGGTTCCACTATAAGTTAAAAGAAAATTTAATTAGATTTTAAGCAAATACGGGACAATTAATCGACAGATAGTCGGCAAAAATTCCGGATTTCACATTATGTCACAAAACAAAGGTAATTATCTCTGAAAGAAAACAACAGCACTGTGGTTTAATCACGTGACATGGGCAAAATCAACCTGAACACGTAGAAAAGGTTTGATAGAATCAATTTCATATGCTGTAACTTCAAATGTGTGCTTTTGTTGTCATACATTACTGTAGTCCCCAAACTTTTGGATTGTACCATGTATTCTTAATTTGAAGATGATATAACAATCAAGTTACATTAAAATTTGATTTTATAATGTAAATTTAAACCAAGCTATTTTTTTTTTAAAGTTTTGTAAATATTTCTGATGAAATTGGCATGAAAATATTTTTAATTACTTTTATCAACATTAAAAAAATTATATATAAATAATTTTAATTGATAATGCAATCTTTTTGAATAATGAAAATGCTGGAATAATCATAATTAAAATTCAAAAATTACCTTATAATTATTTTTTTAAATTATTAAATATTTTTTTTGAAATAGCTTGTTTTTATATTATATAAAATACCATCCTGTAAAATGATGCTGCAATAGTTATATATATATATATATATATAGTTTGAAGGTTACATAAACTTCTTAGAAGAAAAAATATAAAAATTGTAGTAAAATTAAGATGCAAGAAATAAAATATATTAAGATTATTTCAAATGAGATAACATATTTTCTTAATAAAAATATTAATTTTGTTTTTTATCTTTTGTAATTCATGCTAGTGAGGCATTATCATTTTTATAGTATGATATTTTGTTTATAGATAAATATGTTTTAAAGATTTTGTTTACTTTTAATTAAATAAATACAAAATTTTAAGGATTAATTTTATTATTAAAAATGTTTTAGCTTGATTTTCGAAAATTATCATCTGATTCTAAATTCTTTGGAGGAGAAAATACAAGTGATGTATTAAAGCAGTATGTTGATCATAAAGCATCATGGTTTTCTTTCTGGAAATTTTCTTCTATACAATTCCCTGTTTTCAATAATTATTGTATTGGCATTTATAGTGAAGATGCATATGAATTTCAATTTGTTGACATTTGTAAGTATGTTTTATAACATTAAATCTCTTTTTAGATAAATGTAGATCAGTGTTGTTGAACCAAAATTGTTTACTGGGCCAAAACCAAAAATAAAAAGTCATTATGGGCACTACATATTTACTTACAACAAAACATATACAATTATATATTATTTTGTATGTATTTTAATGTAAAACTTGCTTTTCAATTTTTTCACTTAATTTTTTAATATCAACAGGTATTTTTGATATTGTACAACATGGTTTTTTTAAGTTTTCATAAGTTAATCTATTACAACTTTTACATTTAGCAATCTTCAATTTTCAGAAAAAAGATTCACAAAGAATGGCAATTTCCATTGCAGCTATAATGCTCATTACTAGTTTTTTTAGGTTAGGTAATTTATCATTACAGACATATTTTGTATAAAACTGAACTTTGTTATTGGCCTCAAACATATATTTTAATTCAGATGATGACTGGAGATCTATTAAATCTATATGCAAATTTGTTGGAGCTTGTTTCACAACAATGTCAACACATTGAATTGAGATGTAATTCTTATCAAATGGACAAAAGAAAATATTAAATATATTATCATAAAATTTTAAATATGAAGATCTCTCTTGAAATTCTCTTAGTAAATTAGTAATGTCTTGTGCATATTTAGAAAAATGTTTTTTGTCACTATTAAATTTATGTAATTTTGGAAGATGGATTGCAGTTTTGATTTTAACTGACTTTCATAACTATTGCGTAAAAAAGCAAATTACTGTACTTAATAAATAATTGCTAATTTTTATGAACATCAGAATGGTTCATAAAGTTTAAATTTTGCTATGAATTGCTTTTACATTTTGATAACAATCTGTGATCAATTTGTTTACCACTTTGAAGCTGCTTATTAAGTTTGTTTAATTTCATTGTGATATTTGTAAGGAAAAATAACCAAAAAGCCAGTGTCCATCATATAAATCAGGAACATTCTGGTCATTTTCATTCATAAAAATTTGAATTTCTTCTCTCAAATTCCAAAATTTCTTTAAGCATTTTTCAAAACTTAACCATTGAATTTTTGCATAAAAAAACAAATTGCTGTACTTAAATTTCAGTTTTTGAAGATAATCTTGAAGCTGACGTTGCTTCAAAGAATTATTTTTTATTGTGTTAACTGTTGTAACAACTGATAGGCTATAATGTGGTTCATATTAAATATTTGCACGCACAAATTTTCAAGATGCAAAAAACAATGACAAATGAAAAGCTCCAAAGACATTGAACTTTTTCCATGGTTTATCTATGCTCAAGAATTAATTTAACAGCTCCAATATTTTTGCTGATCATTGAAGCAGTGCCATCTGTGGTGATCCAAATTAGATATGCTAATTTCAGTCCATGGTCATGCAAACATTTAATGACAGTTTCATATATTTTTTTTCTGAAAATTGTATCTTTCATACTCATAATGTCGGGAAACTCTTTGGTCATATTCATATCACTATCCACGCTTTGAATAAAAATAGCAAGTTGAGCCATATTCTTAATATCTGTTGTTTCATCCAAAGCCATTGAGAAATGCAAAAACTTCTTAGAAACCATGTTCAGCATTGAACAAATTTTATTTGAAATGTTATCAATTCATGCTATAGGCTGATTTGACTGAAAATCTTGACTTTTAAAACAATTACTTTGGCTGCAGTGATAATGCATTCTTTGATGTATTCGTCATCCAAAAACTGTTTCATTTTTTTTCCAATAATATGTGATATTCTAATGCATAATTCTAATTTTATATCAGAAACACTTGCTGATGAAAGAACAGAGGATAGAGATTGCATAGCATATATAATCTGTTTAGTATAAGCCCAGAATTTTTAGTACTTGGTTATATCGTGCTTTTACTTTGAGGTAGAGAGCATATATTTTAAATTAAATAAATTAAAAATATGATTAAAAATTGCAGCCTGGCATTGTAATGATGTCACAATAAATAATTGCTAATTTTTTTAAAAATCAGAATGGTGGATGCATTGAGTTTTTATTTTAGCTATATTAACTTAAGCACCATAGTTTAGCATCAATATTTTTTGCAAATCAGCATGCTATAAAATTTACTAATCACATTTATCATTTAGATTTCTGGTTTTTTGTTTTACAATTAGACTCTTAGAATTTCACTATTACTACTTTCTGTGGTATAAAATTCCCTCTAGGAATTACTTAATGTACTATTATTTTCTTTTTGACAAAAATCATTTTCAGTATTCTAAAGAATATAACTACTGTTAATTTTTAACTGTCAGATGTATAGTACCTGTGGATTTTTTTGAATAGGAATGTTTTAATTAAATACCCTTATTTCAATTGTATGTTATATTATCTAAAAAAATTTTTTACAATTGATATAAATTTAGTTATTTTCAATTTTAATCTTTTATCTCTTTTATTAAATCAAGTTTATAGTTTTTCTGAATAAAGTTTTAGTTAGATTCTTATATTAATGTTATCTTTGTAGATATAAATTTTTGGAGATTGTTACAAGTATTTGTTGGAATACTAATATTTTTTTCTGCTTCAAATTTAAGCAGGTAAGATTATCTTTATTAAAAACTGCTTTTATTTATTACTGTAATTTTTCTCCAATTTACAATATATTCAATTTATAAAAAGTTAATTTCAAAATGTCTAATAAACTTCTCTGAATATGAAGTATATGATACATTAATTGATAAAGATATAAATATTAATATTAATTGCTGTTAACTTAAATTTAATATAGAAAATAAATAGTGTTTACAAGCAGTTTAAGTTAATGACTATATTAAATGGGTTTTTATTCAAAATATCTTATATAGAGAAATAGATTGAAATAAATTGAATAAAGAAATTAGTCAACTGACCCCACGAATTTTTGGTCATAGTTGCCCTTATTATGGGCTTGACTAAACTCCACAATAGGTATGGAAAAAAGCCCTCTTATGTTCGTAGAGTACAAGTGTGACCGTAGGGTCGGCACCTCTTTGGCGCCCTGTCAGGAGACCTGAATCTGACACCACCGAGTCTCTGGGGGACTCGGAAATCGCGACGTTACGTCTAAAGATTCGCGAGCGGTAGCGTGTGAGCGCTTGGATTTGGAGTAGAGGTGAGGAGAGAGATGAGGAAGTGACTCACTCGGACTCCATATGTTCTAACAAAAATTCCATTTTAATAATAAACAAAGAAAATACAGAGATATCGGGCATATTAGCAGACTTAATTATACTATTCCGTTCGAGAGAGAGAGTTTACAACCGNGAAGGAAGAACAAGAAGAGAAATCAACACAGAACATATGGGAAGAGCCAGAACAAGAAACTGAGAGTGAACCAACAAATATACAGGAATTAATTGAAGAATTGAAGGAAGAACAAGAAGAGAAATCAACACAGAACATATGGGAAGAGCCAGAACAAGAAACTGAGAGTGAACCAACAAATATCGTTACAGATTATTTATCTATTTCAGAAATTGGCAAATTTTCTAGAATATTTCTGTTCAATTTGTTCAAAAGTTGTTCATTTCTGAAATAGAAATAAAGTTCAATTTCTGAGCTTCGTTTCTATTTCAGAAATCAACAACTTTTCTAGTATTCTGGAATATTTCTATTGTAATTTAATTGTTATAAATTATGTTCGTTTCAGAAATTGATGAGTTTTCTAGAAAAGTTTCTATTACCGTTTAAAATGCTTGACATTTTAAAAGAAATTAATATTTAAACATAAAAGTGTCTTATTTTCTATTACGGATATAAATAAATATTCAGAATTTTTATACTATTTTTAAACGTCATTTAAGCTTCGTTATTAACTAATTTACTATTCTTACCGAATTTAAAATAAATGATAAATAAAAATACAATTTATTTTTATATTATCCAATTTATGATAGAGATTATTTATAATAAATAATAAATATGTGCACTTAAAATTGGATTATTTATCTGTATTCATTTTTTCTTAATATTTTAATTATACAACGATATTTTTAGTGATAAATGCTAGAATTTTTACATGTAAATATTAATATAGGGTGATAAAGATGTAAAATTTTTATACGAATCTTCAATCCATCATCTGTAATATACTATTATTTAAGTTATGTTTTAGGAACGAATGTGACCAAAGCTAGCCTTAAACCATTGTATAAGCTATATAAAACTAATGTTATTAAAATATTTATAAACTGTAAATATAACGTTTTAAAAGCTCTACTCACTATCAATAATTGATAACAGTAAAAGCTGAGTTCCGTAGTGTTGAAAAATTCTGTTTATTTGTTAATTAATAATATATACTGGTGTTTGCTGTCAATGTTCAGGCTCAGTATTGGACAGAGTAGTATTAATTTATAGTATAAAAATGGTAAAATATATTCAAATCATTGATTTTTATCGTAAGAATTTTTAAAGAAATAGTTGAACTATATAATATTATTAACATTATGCAGCAGGGATAAGCTTTGGAGTATTTGCCTCTTTTCTGATAATAGTTTTTCTTATTAGTAGAATAACACCAAAAGTAAGTATTTTGTAATTTTTGAAATATACATAATATTAATTTTAAAACACTACTCTAAAGTCTCAAATAAGGTATGTATAAAAAGCAAAGATGTCTACATGTATTTGAATATGAGTTTTTTATATAAGTGTTGTTGAGTTTTCAAATAAGTAAGTTATTGATATTGTTTTATTAGAACATTAAATGAGTATAATTTATATTTAAATTAACTAGAAATTTTTAGACTAAGAATCCATCTTTTAAGATTTTAAGAGCTTGTTTTAGGATTTGGTATTTTATGGGTAATTCTGTTTATGCAAAATATTGTATGAATTGAGATGTGATCTTGATTTAGACCAGCAGTGCCCAAAATTTTCAGTCAGTATTACAAATTGCACATAAGACAGCTACAAGCATTTTAAAATATGCTAGGTATATAAAAGGTATTTTTCAAAAAACTCATTTCTCAACTGATATACATAAATTGCTATTTGTAAAAGTATATATTAAAAAACATTCCTTTTTTTGATTTGAAACAACTGATAAATTAAGCATATTAAGGAGTTGTACACTTTGTAAAACTGACGTTTTTTTATCATTTATAATTAATGTTTCAAATATATTTTTAGTAGTGTTGCAACGACTAGTATATTCGGCCAAACTATTCGGCTTGATTAACACACGTACGAAAATTGGCGCGCAAACCTCATTATGGCAAGGATCCTGCTCTATTGGCCTGCTGTCACTACGCTTCGTCAATCGCGTTAATTCTTGACAGTTGTAGCAGACAGACAAGAGCGTCATGGCAGTACTGTATGTGATAAATGATATCAAATGTGGATAACAATGAAATGACCTACATGTGTAAATAACGGAAAAAAGAACAGAGAAGGATTGCGAAGTGAAAATGTGAAAATAAATATGAAATTGAGTTGATAACATAATCTAACAATTTGAGGCAGCTTATTTGCGCGAAATTTGCGGTTGTCAATGTCAAACAATTGTTGTGATAGGCTTCGGAACGGAAAGCTAAATGAAAGTCACTTAGCGTGCACAGGCGAAAGCCTGGGGCCGTTTCGGCTACCAAGCTGTCTCGAATCTGTGAAATCATAACTGTGACTTATACCGACGTCATATCTGTCTCTTTTCTCCATTATCACCAGGCTGTGAGTCACGTAATTGTAAAATGGGAAATCCACTACGGAAAAGTGACGAATTGAAAGTATAGTGAGCACATATTATGATGTATGAATAGGCATATGTGGAGTAGAGCGATAGAGGAAAGAGAAAGCGAAAAGCAAAGACGAGTGCTTAAAAAAAAAGGATAGGCAGGATCAGACCCTCAAGTGTGTGCGACGATTCTCGAACAAATAGGTGTGTGCATGTGCTGATCTTTGTCATTATAAATTGTGAATACGTGTGACTAATATTATTTTCTTTTTTATTTTGTGCATGTTATAAGTTATAAATAAATATAAACAAACAACACTAACCTGATAACATTAAATCTAAATACCAAAATGATTAATTTACTGAGTTTTTGTTATTTCTTACTTGTGTTTTTAGGTATTCGGTATTCAGCTGAATAGTGATTAAATATTCGGTATTCGGCCGAATAGCAAAAAATAGGCCGAATACCGAATAGTAACCAAATATTCATTACATCACTAATTTTTAGATTAAGTTGAAATTATTTGATATACAAACCAAACCAAATCAAACTACCAGATTGTTTGTACGGACTAGTTTAAAGGTATAATTTAATCAATTAATTATGTAATTTGCATACTAAAAGTAAGAAAAGTTACAATCTTTGAGAAATTGGGTGATTAGAATTACAATTAAATAATTTAGAAACATTAGGAAGAAGAAAGTTTCTAAATTGTTTTATTTCATTAATTTTTATCATTAAATTTCTTATCAGAAATGAAGTAGAAATTTCCATAACATCATCCACATTTAGTGTGCAAATCATATAATAATTAATTAAATTATAATCTTTAAAATATTCAATATAAATAGTCTGGTAGTTTGATTTAGTTTATGTAATATACGATTCAGTTATTTACTCTACAGTTAATATTTATTATAAAATTTAATTGTTATACTTGTTTCTAGTTCTGGTATAGTAATTTTATTGCTTTAATTGAGTTTAATAGAACTAGACAATGTAAAATTAAATTAAATAACATATTTTCAAGTTTAAACTTATGAATAATTCATATACACTAGACCAGTCAAGAATAATCCATGGCATTTGAGGTCCTAATATGTGGGCCCAGGACTTTGTCTATTTTATTTTATTTTTCTGTTTTCTGCCTCATGCCATTATGCAACACTAATTAAGCTGATATCTATGATGACGAATATTCAAATTAAACTTTACCAGTGAAAAGATGAGAATAAACTATATATTACTAGTTTGAAAACCATTAGCATATGTTATTTCAGTATCACGGCTGTGGAGTCGGAGTCGGGAGAAATTTCTGGCCAGAGGAGTTGGAGATGGTGTTGGGAAAAATGTGTAGATTCTGACTCTGTCATTTTAAATTTAATTTAGTTTTTTATTTAATGAAAGAAAATATATTTTATATTTATTAATTTTTTAGAATGTTTTTGTATTTTGTTATAATTCATTTTTAATTACAAAATGCAACAATTTAATTTATTAAATATGTATCAATAGTTTTCTTTGTAGTATTTATGTTTAATAGTTAAATTATTTTGACCCAATTAAATTTGAATATTTTTAATTCATTCCTTTATTATCTCTACTCTAAATAAGTACTCTATTTTTCTGAATGAGCCAGACTAATTGATCAGAGTATATATTTTTCTTTTCTGAACAAAGTGCTGAAGTAGCTGGATTTTACACTTTTTAGTTGGACTAACTTTTCTGGAAAGGTGAAATTGAAGTGCAAAAGCTGTAGAATAAAGATATGTAGATGTAGAATTTTATTGCTCTCCATTTTTCTCTTATTAAATATTTGTTAAAAATTCATTTTTTTATACAAATAAATATTAATGTAAGTTAAATATTAAAAATACTAACTATAAAAGTATTCGGGTAAATGCCTGAGGCTCCTTTCAGAGTACAGAAGGGTAACCACCTATGAGTGCCTCTGCCCCCCATAAAATGACTTGGTATTTCATTTTGCTGGGATCAGAGTCAGAGTCAACCTACTAAAATTATCAGCAGTCAGAGTCAAGTGTTTTTTTTTTACTGACTCTGCAGTTCTGGTATCTAGTGTATTGTGGTTATGGATTATTTTGATACTCAGCAGGCTTAAAGCATGTTCTAACAATATAAAAAAAATATGCTTGTGGCCCACTAAAAGCCTATGAAATTCACTTACAGTTCACATCCAGAAAAGGTTGTTTATCACTGCATCAGATTCTTGCTAATACAGCCATTTCTCACACAGAGGAGTACCATATTATTGAGAGACCTAAAGGTAATGAATGATGTGATCTGTCATACCTTTTGGTACTGATTCTTTTTGGAGGCATGCAGGAATATAATACAGCATGCTTACATTCAATACTGTACACAAAAATTTTTCCAGAATTTGCATTCAAGTACTGAATTGTTTGAGTTGGGAATAGTTCAAGTACTGAGATACCACTGTATTTCATTTGTCACTTTTATGAATGATTACTTACTTGCGATTAAAAAACGATTAATAATACTTATCTAAAAATGGTTATAGAGTAAACCTGAGTAAACAGAAAAATAGGATGTATGTCATCACTAATATTTTCAAGGAAATGGAAGTGCATAGGCAATTACACTAGATAATTGGGAGGTTGTATTAGCAAGAGTATACAGTATTTGTATGTGCAGGTATCCCTTGTACAACACAGCATTTTTACAACATGGTTTTACTCTAACATGGTTCAAAAATTGGGGAAATCTCCCATACAAAATTCACAATTTTTAAGTGTGAACTCTGTTATTCAATATTTTTTATTCAAGTAAGCAAGCATGTTGTCTCAAATTTGCCCATGGATTTTAGAATATTGAAATTTTTAATTTGTTTTGTGCTTTTCATTAGGATTACTTTAAAAAAAACTGATATTGCAATTTTTTCTTCCCTGTCCTAGCTTTCCTATCAACCAGTATCATTGTCATTGCTTTCAGACTTCAGCCTTTAAGACTATCACTGTGTTTTTGTTTTTATAGATTAATCTTTATATTTAGTAAAGTTTTATTTAAACATTTTTAGGTAAGTGTTATTAATCGTTTTTTAATTGCAAGTAAGTAATCATTCATAAAAGTGACAAATGAAATAAATACAGTGGTATCTCAGTACTTGAACTATTCCCAACTCAAACAATTCAGTACTTGAATGCAAATTCTGGAAAGAATTGCTTAGTACTTGATGGAATAAACATGACTTGCTAGAACAAATTTTCAGTTAATAACATAATTTTATTTTTATTTTGTCATCCATAAAAATTAAAAAAAATGAAGATGTTGCTGATATTTCTGATCAAGAGATCAACAGAAATGTTCAGATGATGATGATACTTTGTAAAAAAAAAATAAAGGCCCTTGTTTAACTAAAATTAATATTAATATGTAATACAGTACTTTTAATTGTGATTGTTAGTTAATTATTGATTGCTTTAATAAACATATTTCTTTTAGTAAAAAAACAATAGTATACTTTTGCTAACTTTTGGAACCTAAACCTATATTTTCTATTAGTTCTTTGTTTTGCATAACACAGCACTTTTTCAGAACATAACTACCATGTTATATAAAGGATCCCTGTATATTGTCTTTTTTTTGTATGCTGTATTTTGAAACATTACTTTTGATATATTATTATTGTATTAATTGTTTATATTTAATTATAAACATTAGTTATCATCAATAGCCAGATTAATATAAAGAGTAGCCAGATATTTTCAGTTGTACATCAAAAAAGAAGAAAATATTCTTTAAATTAAATCCTAAGAATTACAATAAACATTGAAAATTTGACACATCTTTTACTTTACTTTCAAAATTGTTGGACTGTACATTTAAATGTTATTTGTCCATCTAATTTTAATTATTTTATATTATTTATTAAATATGGTCAAATGTTTAAAATTTATAAGCTTCTTGCATAAAAAGTTAGAATAATATTTTTACAAAATTTTGAAATTTATTAATTATAATTCTGAAGATTCAATTTAAAATGGAGATTCTCTTTTCCCTTTTAAAAAATTTTCAATTAAATATGTTCAGCTCTGTATTTTGTCAAATATCTTTTTGTTTCTCTTTGTTTTATGATTATTTTTCAGTAGATGCTATGGATAAAAATATTTATATTTGTTGTTGTTATTTTTTAATTTAACATTATAATTATTGTGTCTTATTTTTGCAGAACATATTTTATTCTTGCAAACATTTTTAGATGTTTAAATATCCATTTTCAGACACAATAATCTTTTTGAACAGCAGATATAAGATAGTTGCAAGAATAAAATAACTGCTAGAGAAGTAAGGTGTGATTATTGTAATGTTGTTTATTTATATGAACTATTTATTTAAATATAAAATTATTTTGTATTAATGATTATAACATAAATTGTGAATAATATCAGTAGATTATTAAAAGCTGAAATAAAATTTTTTTCTATTTAGAAAGTTGGTGCATACAGTATATTAATCTTTGGATGGTCACTGGTGCTTTATTTATTACAACTGATATGGGAAAACGTAAAGTCACTTGTAGAATCATACAGGGAATTTCTAATAGCTTACTTTATTATTATTGCTGTAATCAGTAGTGCTGTTTGTTATTATTATGGACCAGTCACAAACCATAAAACATTAAATCTGATTCAGTGGAGTTTGCAGGTAAAAATCTGTGTTTATATTAAGTATTGATAAAATTTCTTTATTGTTTACAAATTATATTTAAATAAATGTAACTAAATAAATCGGAGACATTTTTAGTAAAATAATCTGTAAAGACATTATTTTTTCTTATAAGATATATTTCTATAATAGTTATAAGGTTGTGCTCTCTGAGTGGTAAGGGGCCTAAAACCACAAATATAAAAAAAAGTGTGTTGATTTTGTAATGTTAAAGATTCTGAGTGTGAATAGGAGAATTTTATAATCTTAACATTGATTAAGAATTAACTTGATTTAGAAGTAAATTATTATTCATTTAAAATAGTTTGGGTTTATTCACAAATGATTTAATTCTGATAGAATATATTTGCATTTATAAAATGTTTTTATTAATAGTAATAAAATTCATAGGGCTCCCATGTGTCCTTCCTTTTGTACCTTTTGTTAAAATGTCCTACTTTATCCTGCTTTCTGTAGAATGCCCTACTTTTCCTACTTTTTGAATGTAAAGTTTTGGATAAATATATTTTTACATTTTTGCCCATTTATTATTTTGGACTGGATCGAAAATTCTTGGTAGACTTGTGTTTCCAAAATGCTATAGCTATTTTTCATAAACCAAATGACAGCCTTAATTAATCAGACTATTTTATGCTACAATGGCTTTGGGATGTTTATATATATAGCTGTTCTTCATCTTACTTTGTTGTTGTTGTCATCTCACAGAAATACACCAACTGTACAGTATCAGATGTATAACAAGAATTTTAAAGCCAGTCAAATTAGATTGCTGGATTATGTGAAAGAATGCATCCAAACTGGCTGCCAAAATTTGTCTATATTTTGATCAACAGAAGGAATCTGACTTCAAGGGCAGTCACAAAGCAAGATGGTTGGACAAAACAGAAAAATATCTAAAACTATTAAGATTATTCAGCTGGAGAATCATTGTAGCAGAAGGAAAGAGCTGGAGATTATGTCTGCAGCATAGAATCTCAAAGGGCTGAATGTGGCAATTCAAAACATGATCATGATGATCATGTCAGTAATGAATCTGAAAAAATAAACTTGTTCTTTTAACTGAAGATTATGAATTAGCACATGGCTAACCAAGTTGATTGAAAACATTTTAGATATTGCTTTGAAGATCATGTGTTCTGATCGAGCCCAAATTACATAATCTTGCAGCCAAACTTTTTTGGTTATTTTTTTATGCTTTATAAGAAGTCAGTTAAATGAAATGAATTCTACCTTCAATTCACTTGATTTATTTGATTTCTGATAGTCTGAAAATAGCTTAGAACAAGAAAGCATTATTTTTTTATTATTAATTAATTTAATACAAGGTTTTTTTACTTTTTGTATGAGGAGCAAAGAAAATATACAAACAAACATATTGTTCAATAACATAAACACAAATACAGTAAGTATAATAATCTCTACAGAGTCCAAGTTTTTAGATACAAAATCCAATACATAAAATACAATAACCATTACGTATATGCAACATTCAGTTCATTAATACAATTTCAATACATAAATAAAATATCCAATACAAAATCTCATAAATGGTAATTAATACACAATATTCCAAACATACAAAATTAACTAATAAACAAGTTGTGATACACTGTGACGATCTGATGACATTACAATAGAAATGAACAGAAATTATTAAAATAATTTAATAAATCCAATAAATGTACCCACCTGAAAAAAACACAAAAATAAGAAATATGCAGAAAAGATTAGCAAAAGGTCATCATAACCAATCAACACTAATTAACCCCCCAAGAAAGCACTAAACATACCTTATACACCTTTCTACACAGGAATTTAATAAAACAAACATTTTCAGCATGCTTGAGAAGTTTTTTTCAGGCTCACCATTACAAAATGAATTTAAAAAGAGATTCTGTTTTGGAACAAAATATTCTTTGGTGTTGTTACATCTTTTGAAATCACTGTGTGTTTTGAATTTTCAATATATCTTGCAGCATTTCCAACTTGGACAATTATTGATATAACAATCTAGAAAGTTAAGCTTGGTTTTGAAAGTTATAATTAATATTCTTTTAAGAAAAATTTATAATTACTTCCCAACTGTCTGAGAATCAGATTAAATAGAATATGATATTGAAAACATGCTGCATGTTTAAAAATATTTAATTTAATTATAATCATTACAATTATAAATTATTTCTGAACTTCATAGAATTTTCAGTGAATGTTTAATCACAATTATAATACAGTATTATGAAACAAAATTGCTACATTTTATATATTTTGAATATTTCACATATGCAATTATTACAGAAAATAAGAGCCAGACTTTTGCTAGTATTTTAGGATAGCAATTACTAATAGGCATTACTACTAGATTATTCATTGCAATACCTGTGAAATTTAGATACTGAAATATGATAGGTTATATATTAAAATTCAGAAATTGTTAATTTATATTATGTTCTAAAGATATTATCTAGAAACAAATTATATATATTTTTAATACATGCATACTGAATATATACACTTACACAATCTGCTCTACAAAATATGGTCTTATGATATCCTTCTGAAATTAGATGTGGCCCTAAATCAATTTTTTGCAAAGTTTCTAAATTATTTAATTCTAATTATTAAAGTATTACTTAAGAGATGACAATTTCAAATTACATTATTTATTAATTAAAATTAGCATATTAAAATATTTCAAGAAAAATCCATTCATTTTTTAGCTATAATCAATAAATAGTTTTTATTATTTGTATGAAATATAATAATTGTTTATTTTTTATTATTACAAAATCAATGAATATAACAATAATAATTTAAAATATTTTAGCTAATAGGATTATCCATAATTTTCTTCAGTTCTGAATTCAGAGAAGTACCAACAGTAATTATCATTACAATTATTACAATACATGTATTTCCACAAAAATGGTTGATAAGAGGTCGAATGCTATGGTAAGATAATACATGCAGTTCAAAAATGTTCATTGTAAATTACAGTTTTTAAAATAGATTATCTGTTGAGTAGGAGGAGATGGTTTCCACCAAAAGTAAAATTATTAACAGAAACTGAATATATACAACAAGCAAATGAAGAAACAAAGAAAGCTTTGGAAGAATTAAGAAAGTATTGCTGCAGTCCAGATTGCAATGCTTGGAAAACATTAAGGAAACTAAATAACCCTATCAGGTATTTACATTTTAATGTGTTACTTACATTATCAATTTTTAAAATATTTTTTCAATTCATAAAAATTTAAATTAAATAAATTTAAGTAAAAAATAGTAAATAAATTTAATTTAATAGTATAACTGTAAATCCTCTAATAGATGTTAGGTCACTTATAAATGTTTAGTTCAAACTGCTAAATAGATACTAAGTGTTAAATTCCTGTGCTCAGCTTTAGAGTGTTCTGTATATGCTAGCTATGGTAATTTTCCTCTGGGAATTCTTGAAAAATATTTTTACTACAACATGGGGTGCATCTTTCTGTATTTTCTCTTTTGAACTCTTCATTTTACACAGATCAGTGAACTGGATGTCGATTGGAATGACAACCAAGAGGCCTTAAAGTGTCACCTTTAAACTGAAAACAAATGTATATACAAAAAAACAATTGGAAAAGCAGCAGTGCAGAAATTCAAAGTGCATTCAAAGCAAATTCACATGTGTGGAAGCAAGCATGATACTTTTAAGACTATCAAAAATAAGAGTGAAGCAAAGAGGCTGGCAGGAAGAGGGTGCAAGAAGATCAGTGAAGAATTAGAAGAAAAGGTTATGCAGTGGATCTGTGAGCAGCAAGAGAAAAATAACTATCTCCAGATGGATGGGTGAAGATTTCTTCTGTCTTGGCCATCACAGATAAGACAAGAGAAATCTTCACCCGCTTAGATAGATGAAAATGATAAACAAAATGCAGTGTTCACAGCTAGCAGATAGTGGCTAGAAAAATTCATGAAACATAGATATAGTAATACCATAAAAACTTTATGCTTACAGTAGTAATGTGTTGTGCAGTAGTGTGCTTTTTCTGTTAAATAAAAAGGAAAAGTTCTTATCAATTACCCTACAGTTTTCATTCTTTGGGAGAGAATGGATGAGGAAAACCATAAAGGTAGTAGTGGAAAAAAGAATGAACTATATTTCTCCTTTTTTATATCACTAGTTTGAATGAAAATCCTTATCTATTGGAGATAATATACTTAGCTCCAGTGTATGTAAGATACATCAGGTCTCTTACATACACTGGAGGTAAGTATATTCTTCAGGTCAGGTATCTATTAGAGGATTTATGGTATATTCAAATTGTTTCATTCTTCCTTTAAAAATTCTCTTACTTGATAATTACAGTAAATTTTTTAATTATTGATAGATAATAATCAATATTTTATGTAATGATATGATACATGGATTGAACTATTGTTTATATTATCTAATTTTTAAAAAATTGCTATGATTTTTATTTAAACAAATTTTCTGATAATTAATATACTCAAACCTGTGGTCTTAAAAATTGTAACATTGTGTAAAGTATACTTAATATTAGAAAATTAGAGAGAGTTTTTTTTAATTATTCATTTAGTTCATTGTTTATATTGTTATATTTATATTAAAAAAAACTAGATAGAATACATTTCCAGAAAATAAATATCTTAAATTATAATACAGTCAAACCTTGAGTTACAAATGCCCTGTTTACAAACAAAATTTTGAACACCATATTTGCTCCAGTTGCTGCACAATAACTCGGTTTCTGAACAAGCTGCTTGACAGAGTCGGCCACTGATGGTCAACTTCCTATACTTCCTATGTTAAAGAAAGTCAATGGCCCAACCAATCAAAGACAGGACTACCAATTCAGTAGTGGTGCCAAGATTCGCCTTGTGTCATTAGACATCACAACAAGAACCATTGATGATGATGATATTCAAATTAGATTTCAATGTGCATGTGGGTAAGTTACTACTACAGTAGAACCTCGAAAACTCGGCTCTCGATAACCCGGCACTCTGGATAACTCGGCCACACCCTGGCAGGGCAAAACAATCCTTAGTTAATTAATTTTCATTATAGACAGCTTTATAAAAGTATAAAAGCTCTCATAAAGTATTTTTCTGAGGTCTGTCTTATCAGGTAAATTACTGTACACAGTGTATTCATTAATTTTCATTTTCATGTAGTAAAGGCTCTATGCCTTCATAAAGGACGTACTTTTCCTTTGTTTAAGGGTATTTGGGCAGTTTATTTTCTGTTATATTCTCAAGTAAACAATACATACAAGTACAGTATAGTATTTTCTGAGGAAACACTCGTACTTATTTTTTTAACCCCATTCCCGATAACCCGGCATTTTCACAAACTCGGCCACCCTTCGGTCCACATTAGGCCAAGTTTTCGAGGTTCTACTGTACCAGCTTTCAATAGATGTCACAATTCAATTTAAATCAAATCAAATCAAATCAAATCAATTAATGACAAGCAATTATTTATTGTGACATTGTCACAATGCCAGACTGCAATTTTTAATCATATTTTTAATGTATTTCATTTAAAATACATGCTCTTCACCTCAAATTAGTAGTGGCTTGCCCCCATACATCATACTATTCCTTTAATAATAGCATCATGCCAGTCATCTATCTAACACTTTTCAGGAGAAAATTTTTGAATTGAAATAACATGGCTTCTGGCTTGCATCAAAAGTTTATATATAGGTAATTTGATCCTCCTGCTCCTAAAATTTCCATATTTGGTCTTGTCTGTCATCTATCTGTTCTTGAGATTATGAAAAGAGACACAGATGACAGTGGGAATTTATAGGTCTACAATTTTTTCAAATTGCAGTCCAACAACCATGTTAATTGACATTCACAAAATATAAATGACATCCAATAATTCATATGTAAAGGTGCTTAACTCTAATTATGCAATAAATATGTAGTGTGTATGTATGTATGTATGTATGTATAAATAAATAAAATAAATATATACAGAACAATATATATCAATATTTTTGAGATATTTATATGAACTTTAGAAAGGAGAATAACAAAGTAATAAAGTGAAGTTCATAAATAGGTTTATACAGTTTTTCTCTTTTTTAAACTTTGAAATATATTTAATTATTGTTAAAGAAATATTTTGAAAAAGATTGCTTTTCATATATGTTGTTGGAAAGAAAATAAATATTTGTAGTGAATATAAATTGGCAACACTGTAAAACCCCAAAAACAAAGGGATAAGGAAACAAAAGAAACCTGTCGGACCACCTTTTTGTATATGATTACAAATGTAGACACAGGTGTTTGCCTTGTTCTATAGCCTGGGTTCCCAACCTATGGGTCGCGACCCAGAAGGGGGTCACGACGGGCTTTCTGTGGGGTCACCAACTTATACAGTAAACTAAAAAAAATATTCACTATAATGCAATTTTTATTTTTAATGGTGTCTTGAAGTTTGAATAATTTCATATATTTTTTTAAAATTAAAATAAGTGTAATCTAGGTACACTATTCTGTCACAGTTGGTTGAAACATGTGTTAAGAGTTTGAGAGGAATAAATTAAATGTTGAGAATGACATGAGATTGGCGTTAACAAAAACTCACCCGCGAATTTTGAAACTGGTTAATAACATGCAATTTCAACCATTGCATTAAATTAATTATTAAACATAATTTAAAATAAAATTATACTAAAAAACTAATTTTGTTGTTTTTTTATTACCTTATT